TTAGTTGTTAAGTTTTGGGGGAGTCAAAAATTATATGCAGATTTTTGACTACACAATGGGTTGGCACCACTAACCATTGTGTTGTTTGAGGGTCACCCATATATCTCTGTAAATGTCCTTTTATGTGTGTGACCATGTTTGATAGTTTATTTAGATTATATCTTTTTTTTTTTTTTTTTTTTTTTGAGACAGGGTCTTGCTCTGTCACTTAGGCTGGAGTGGAGTATTGTGATCGTAGTTCACTGCAGCCTTGACCTCTGGACTCTAGCCTTTCTCCTGCCTCATCCTCCTGAGTAGTTGGGATTACAGGCATGTGCTACCACACCTGGCTAATATTTTTATGTTTTTGTAGATATGAGGTCTCACTATGTTGCCAGGGCTGGTCTTGAACTCTTGGCTCAAGTGATTCTCTCACCTTAGCATCTCAAAGTGCTGGGATTACTGGTGTGAGCCATGACCATTGACTAGGTTAAGATCCTTTAGGGGTATAGGGTAGAAACCCACCTAGTAGCTTAAACCAGAGGCAATCCAGGGATGTCTCAGAACTTATAAGTACATATGGCTAGCATCAGAAATCTAATGACCCAGCCTTAGATTATATGTAAAATTGCGGTAGGGTAGGTACCTCTTACTTTTACTAGAAATTACCAAATTATTCTCACGGTATTTGTTCCAGTTTACATGCCTTACCAACAGTATATGTTGATTCTTCATGGGCACGGTGGCTCATGCCTGTAATCCCAGCACTTTGGGAGGCCGAGGCAGGTAGATCACTTGAGATCAGGAGTTTGAGACCAGCCTGGACAACATGGTGAAACCCCATCTTTACTAAAAATACAAAAATTAGTGAGACCTGGTGGCACATGCCTGTAGTCCCTGCTACTTGAGAGACTGAGGCAGGAGAATTGCATTAAGCCGAGATCCCAGCCTAGGTGGGCGACCTAGGCTGCATCCCAGTCTAGGTGGGTGACAGAGTAAGACTCCGTCTCAAAAACAAAACAAAACAAAAAGAACAGTATATGTTGATTCTTACTTATTTCTCCGCATCCTGGATACCACTTGGCATTATCTGACTTCAAGTTGTTGCCATTCTGGTATGTATGAAGTCGTATTTGATTGAATTTAATTTTCACTTTCCTGTCTGTTTAGTGAAGGTAATGTCTTCCTACTTTTCTATCATAGCACCCTGTTTGTTTCTTTTATAGCACCTATCACAAGCTATTATTATGGGTGGGTTTGTTTGTGTGTTTATTGTCTGCCTCCCTATCTAGAACATAATCTCTGTGAAGGCTGGGATCACATTTCTCAGGTTTACTGTTGTTTTTTTTTTCCCCAAAAATAAAAGGGCCATTTATTGAAAAGAACAATTTACTGTCTCTTGACAATGAACAGCATTATCCCTGTTATTAGGAATAATATAATACCACCTCATTCTTATTATGTATTACAATCATTATGTATATGTGAATACATATATAAAATACAGATACTGCATGGTGACTAAGCAGTTTTGGAATAAATCCATAGACTAAGTCACAGCATGCATAATTGTTTATATCTTAACTGCTCTTTGTACCTGAACAGATTTTCGTTAGGCATACTGCTAATTTTCAAATGATGTAATAAAAATTCTGGTGGCAGTGCTATATTATTTTGCTGACTTACATTTGAGAAAAAAGAAGCTACCTGCTTCATCTATTTTAATATGGTATATCCTGAATCTTCTTATAAGAATACATGTATAGAAACTTAAAAGATCCTACATTTCTCATGAGGAGACATTATTTGATCTTTGTCACTAGAGTGTATTCGCAAAACATTTTAACACTGCAAACATTAGAAATTTGAAGACTGGGCATGGGAAAAGGTTTATTCTCTGCTACAATGATGCTGGAATACTACACAAGGCCTGTTAGTGACGTCAATCAGTTGGAGGTAGGACTTTATCAATGAATTGCTTGACATCCATCATTTCCTGTTGACACGAACTGTGCATCATACCTTCATAGGTTTTAAAGGTCACATTGGCTGGATTCACCAATGTTTTTAGTTTTTCAACCGTAAGAGAACCAAACATCAGGGGAACTAAAGGGTCACAATCTCCGTGGCACTGAAGAATAGAAATATCTCTATTGGTGCCACTGATTCCTGTGGAAATGATGCCCGAAGTGGAAGCCAACAACTGAGTGCAGTGACACCCGCCAGTTTCTGCTGCATGGCAAGGGCAGTATATAAAGATAAAGCTCCTCCCTGAGAAAATCCTCGCAAAATAATTCTCTTTGAAGGAATGCCATTCTTCACTTCTTGATCAATCAAGGTTTATGTTTTCTGCAACCTGTGATTAACCTAACCCAGGTTCATCCTCCTGTGAATCTGGTGAAAGCCCAATAATATCAAACCCTGAAGGCATAGCCATGTTCATATTTAATGTAACAGGCATAACAGGCGCATGCGGGCAGATACATTTGATATGTGAACTTCTGATACCTGCAAAGTCTTCTGCCGATCCGTGCCCAGTATCTCCCAATCCGTGAAGGAAAATCACTGCGGCGGTAGCCTTCCGGGTGGCGGGGACGACGGCAGGCAGCTGGGCTGACATGTTATTGCCGCGCATACAGCGGCTCAGCGCACACAGCAAGCGAAGGAAGAGCAGGCGCCTGGCCCCGGCCGTGGGCGGTGCGAGCTGCGAGTTGCGGCCGGCCCCACGGGGCGCACGCTTAGGAGTGGCGCGCTTCCTTCTGCCCGTTCCGCGCGCGCGCGACCCCGCGTCCACTCAGGTTTACTGTTTTATTCCCAGCTCAGTACATCTGGTATGGAGTGGCATTCAATAGATATTTAATGAATGAACCAAGGTCGGGAAGTGGGTCATTTAGTAAGTCTAACGTTGTTGTAAGAGAAATACAGAAATGGAAAGTAATTTATCTTCCTCCTATCCAAACCTTATTCTTTCTTTTTTTCTTGTTTTGGTTTATTTTTTTTTTTTTTTTTTGAGATGGAGTCTCGCTCTGTCGCCCAGGCTAGAGAGCAGTGGTACTATCTCAGCTCATTGCAGCCTCCACCTCCCGGGTTCAAGTGATTCTTCTGCCTCAGCCTCCTGAGTAGCTGGGATTACAGGCACCCACCATCATGCCTGGCTAATTTTTGTAGAGACAGGGTTTCACCATGTTGGCCAGGGTAGTCTTGAAGTACTTGCCTTAAGTGATCTGCCCACCTCGGCCTCCCAAAGTGCTGGGATTACAGGTATGAGCCACAGCACCTGGCCTATACTTTATTTCATAGCCAGTTCATGGTACCTGATTATAGTCTACATTTCTTTTGTTCATTTTTCAAGGCTTTGAATAGACTTGACTAGGAGGTAGTAGTAATAGAGAATAACAGAAATAGTGAGTCACACCTGGATTGATTTGATAGGAATGGCTATCAGCTCCAGCCTAGGGCCTGTAATTTGAGATCTCCTGATGTCCAATTAGTCCAAGTCGTTGCTCTGTGGCCCATATCAGAGAAGATAACAAAGCTCTGATGAAGTTCATTATTAGATAAGAAATTAAACTGAAAGCCCTTTGCCGTTTTTGGGATTCTCATTGACAGTTATTCTTGTCTTACCTAATATAAGACCTTCTGAGATAGATAATAGGCAGCTTCATCAGCAGAAATTCAGTAGGCTAGGTGTAGTAGTTTTTTTATTTTTGAGAAATATAAAACTTGAGTACAACTAGAATAAATCTCAGTTAACTTTTCTGCAGTCCCTTTTTTTTCCACCCAACCACTCTTAGTGTGGCATTTACTCTCAGCAGCTCGGTACATCCTTTGTCGGCTTTATTCAGTTCCTGAGCTTTGCTCTGGCTACATCCTTAACTCACTGGCTTGGTTAAGATCTTTTAGAAGTATAGGGTACAAAATCACCCAATATAGCTTAAACCAGAGACAATCCACGGATGTCTCAGAACTTACAAGCACACACAGCTAGAAATTAAGAGTAGTGGAAATGCCTACTAAAAGCTCCCAAGTTGATTTCCTCTTTTCAAGAGAAGAACTAAGCTGAAGTTGGAATCTCTTAGTTCCAATTACAAATACCTAGGGAAAGATGCCATCCCACCATGGGCCAGATGCCTCCCTGACTCCAGTAAGCTGTGGCCATAAGATTATGTTCTACAAACATGGAAGCCAAGACCCACCCCTGTAACGTGTGGATGTTGCAGAAGGGCAGCTCTCAGGAAAGAAGAGATCCTAGGCAGATATACCCATAGGTATCTAGTGAAATTATCTACTGAAATTAATTATAAATTAGCTGAACATGTGTTCAGAAGCTCTGAAGCTTCTGAATTTTTACCCAGCAACTTCTTTATATCTTCCATTTTCTTTTTTCCCCTCAAGTCCTATGCGGCTCCTTACCCAATTTGCTGATTTCTTTTCCATAGCCAATTGTGAATGTATTCTCAACAGATCCCTGGGCTCATAAGTGAGCTTTGGAGATAACAAGGTGTGTTTTGCTCCCTATTTATTTATTTTTCTGGAAGAATTGGAAAGTAGGACTATTATGTATGCTATAGCATCTCTCTGGTATTCATTTATTTTATTTTATTTTTATTTTTTGAGATGAAGTCTCGCTCTGTCACTGGGCTGGAGTGCAGTAGTACGATCTTGGCTCACTGAAACCACTGCCTCCTGGGTTCAAGTGATTCTCCAGCCTCAGCCCCTGGAGTAGCTGGGATTATGTACATGTGCCACCACGCCTGGCTGGTTTTGTATGTTTAATAAAGACAAGGTTTCACCACTTTGGCCAGGCTGATCTCCAAGTCCTGACCTCAAGTGATTCGCCCCCCTCGGCCTCCCAAAGTGATGGGATTACAGGTGTGGGCCACCGTGCCCAGCCACATGTAGTTTATAAATGTGTCCTACCCAAGCTAGTGGGAAATGGTGGTAAAGCAGGTATTGTGAAACTTTTACAACCTGGGAAGTTCATTCTGCTTTTTCTGAGATCTTTTATTCTCTTGTTACAGGAACATGACATAGAAACAACTCATGGTGTGGTCCATGTCACTATAAGAGGCTTACCCAAAGGAAACAGACCAGTTATACTGACATATCATGACATTGGCCTCAACCGTATGTATTTTATTTTACACCTTCCCTTCTTATCATACTTAATCTTTGTATATTAAAAAACAAATGACAATGATATTCTAATAGAGCAGAGGTTTTCCCCTCTCTGTGGTAACCTTCTCTCCTTGTTCCTACATTTGTTAATGGTATAAAGTTCCTGGGAAGTGTGCAGGGGAATGTGTTTTGGGGCTACTGGAGTCATACCTTGCTGTCATGTTTGTTGAAGGATTGAAGATTATACAATGAATTGATTAAGAAAGTATAACTGAAATCCATGTTTTCAAGCCTGTACTTTGTTTTTTTTATGTTTCAAATTAGAAAATTCAGAGTTGGAGGCCAGGCGCGGTGGCTCACGCCTATAATCCCAGCACTTTGGGAGGCCGAGGCGGGTGGATCACGAGGTCAAAAGATCAAGACCATCCTGGTCAACACGGTGAAACCCCGTCTCTACTAAAAATACAAAAAATTAGCTGGGCATGGTGGCGCGTGCCTGTAATCCCAGCTACTCAGGAGGCTGAGGCAGGAGAATTGCCTGAATCCAGGAGGCGGAGGTTGCGGTGAGCCGAGATCGCGCCATTGCACTCCAGCCTGGGTAACAAGAGCGAAACTCCGTCTCAAAAAAAAAAAAAAAAAATTCAGAGTTGGAACTTAACTTTGTTGTGAGCTCTTCAATGAATTAGTAAAAGAATTCTTGCTAGAGCTTGTCACCAGTGACTTTAAGTAGACTTTTCTAGATGGTAGTGTAAGATTCTGGCTCCAGCCATAGACACACAGAGTCTGCATACATGTGCTTTCATAGATGGCCTGCATTTGAGGCTGCAGTTGAGTGTTAAAGCTTTTGTAGCTGCCTTAGCATGAGAAGTGATTTAAGCAGGTATACAAAGGTGTCCTTTGTATAAGCCGCAGCCCCTTCCTGCACCTGGCCATTTTGCCAAGAGACAAACTCCCATGTGGTGAATGTGAGCAGCTCAGGGCATTCACTCTACCTGTGCTGTTGGGGTATAATCAGTGTCTGTTTGTGTGATAGAAGAATAATGTGCATGAGAAATGACAGCATTCTGGGTGTAAGATTATTTTCTGCAGTAATTGGAAACCACCAAACATTAACAAAGTAGTTTCTACTTTGCAGACATTGTTTAGAATTGAGAATTGTTTTCAGTATGTATCTCCATATGAGATGCCTTTTTTTTTTTTGAGATGGTGTTTCACTCTTTTTGCTCAGGCTGGAGTGCGATGGCACGATCTTGGCTCACCACAACCTCAACCTCCTGGGTTCAAGAGATTCTCCTGCCTCAGTAGCTGGAATTACAGGCGTATGCCACCACACCCAGCTATTTTTGTATTTTTAGTAGAGATGGGGTAAGACTATACTTTCAGGGATCATTTCTATAGTTTGTTACAAGATGGGCTTTCTCTGTGTTGGTCAGGCTGGTCTTGAACTCCTGACCTCAGGTGATCTGCCTGTCTCAGTCTCCCAAAGTGCTGGGATTACAGGTGTCAGCCACAGCGCCTGAGATGTGCCACAGTGGCTGAGATGTCTTCTATTCAGCCCTAGGGCAGCTTGAATCAGACAGATTGTTCAGATACCTTGCTTTGGTGGAATGGTGATTAAAAAGTAGTGAAAGAAGGCAATGATAAGCATTAACTGAGTAGAGGAAAACTGGGGAGAAATGGAGAGCCTGTGACTTATGAGTATTTTTACTCTTATAGATAAATCCTGTTTCAATGCATTCTTTAACTTTGAGGATATGCAAGAGATCACCCAACACTTTGCTGTCTGTCATGTGGATGCTCCAGGCCAGCAGGAAGGTGCACCCTCTTTCCCCACAGGGTAAGACCACGAAAACATCCTCTGGGAGACATGCACTCAGAAGAGCAACTGGCTGAGCTCCAATGGGAGAAGTGGTGTGTGCTTCCCTTTGGTTTTATTACAGTCTATAGGTTATGCTTATCAACCAACCATCCTCATATTTTCTCTCCTTGGGCTGAGAGGACTGTAATGTATAGTCTTTTGGGGGAAACTGTATGTTTTCCCATGTCCAGGAATGACTCTCCATAGCAGGTGCCTGCTTTCCTGTAATCTCAAGGCGTGTCTGGAACACCTACTTCTCACTGTCTTTATCTGTTCCCTTCCTCATCTATTTGAAATCTGTCATTTTTTAGCAAGGCATGGTCACTCACACCTATAATCCGAGCACTTTGGGAGGCCAAGGCAGGATGATTGCTTGAGCCCCGGAGTTCAAGACCAGCCTGGATAACAGGAAGACCTTGTCTCTACCAAAAATTTAAAAATTAGCGAGCCAGGCATGGCGGCATTCACCTGTGGTCCCATCTACTTGGGAGGCTGTGGTGGGAGGATCACTTGGCCCCAGGAGATTGAGGCTGCAGTGCCTGGGTGAAGACCCTGTCTACAAAAACAAAACAAGAAAACAAAAAACTGTCATTTTTGTGTCCTTCCTCGAAACTCCCAACTACCTAGGCCCAAACTCACATCCCTCTGAGCTTTCCTGCGAGCATCTCCCCATCCTTAACTCTCAATCGAGTAATGGAAATTTGACTATCTGTGTAACTATTTATTCTTAGAGGCTGTCCTGGCAGAAAGAGGTGTGGGCTAATTGATTAGCTTTGGCACTCAGCTTCCTCCTGTGTCTGCTTTGCAGGGCAGAGTTACAGGTTCCATACCTGTTTGTTCCCTGGACGGTGTGCTTATTGAGAAGACCTTAGGTAGAGTGAGAGCACACTCTGTGGAATGCTAATTCTTCCCCTCCTTTCACTCATCTCCAGAGCTGCCTTTGGCCAGTGACTGCTGGGAAATAGACAATTGCAGACAAATAATAGCTAATACTTAAATAATATTCAAACCATGTTCCAGACACTGCTTTAAATGCTTTACATTTGTTAACCCATTTACTTCTCACAACCCTATGGGATAAATTTACTATAATTCCCATTTTATAAGTGAGGAAACTGAGGCCCAGAAAAATTAAGTAATGTGGCTAACATTACATAACACATAAGTAGCAGAGCTAAGATTTGACCCCAGACAGTCTGTTGCCAGAATCTGTGCTCTTCTACCTTTGAAATGCAAATTGGCCATTGGTCAGTTTATATCCAACAAGATTTGGATCCAGTTCCTTTTTTCTATTTTGTGCACAAATAGTTCCACAGCGCACCATCCCTTAAGTGTTCAGGCAGAGGCAGGCTGACTTCCCTGTGAGATGTTGAACAGATCCTGCCTCATATATAAGTCGTTGTCTTACGATCAATTCCATCTTCAATTCTCTAATCCCTTTTTTTTTTTTTTTTTTTTTGAGATAGGGTATTGCTCTGTTTCGCAGGCTAGAGTACAGTAGCGTGATCATGGCTCACTGCATGGGCTCAACCTCCTGGGCTCAAGTGATCCTCCCATGTCAGCCTCCCTACAAGTATGTGCCAACACGCCTGGCTAAGTTTTGTATTTTTTGTAGAGACAGACTTTTGCCCTGTTGCCCAGGGTGTTCTCAATCTCCTGGGCTCGAGCAATCTGCCTGCCTTAGCCTCCCAAAGTGCTGGGATTTACAGGCATGAACCAACGCTCACAGCTGCTTAATACGTTTCTAGGATTTCTGATCTGGGCTTGCTCAAACATCTTGGGATCAGATGGTTCATATTATGAATGAAATTCAAAAACAATTAATAAAATAACCATGCCAGACACAGTGGCTCACACCTATAGTTCTAGCACTTTGTTAGGCCGAGAAAGGAGGATCACCTGAGGCCAGGAGTCCAAGACCAGTCCTAGCAACATAGCAAGACTCCATCTCTGCAAAAAATCAAAAAATTAGCCAGGCATGGTGGCATGCACCTGTAGTCCTAGCTACTACTCTGGATACTGAGGCAGGAGGATAGCTTGAGCCCAGGAGTTCAGTGTTACAGTGAGCTATGAATGCACCACTGCTCTCCAGCCTGGAATTATTAATAATAATAAATCTGGCCGGGTGCGGTGGCTCACGCTTGTAATCCCAGCATTTTGGAAGGCTGAAGCTGGCGGATCACAGGGTCAGGAGATCAAGACCATCCTGGTGATACCCTATCTCTACTAAAAATATAAAAATTAGCTGGGCTTGGTGGCATGTGCTTGTAATCCCAGCTACTCAGGAGGCTGAGGCAGGAGAATTGCTTGAACCCGGGAGGTGGAGGTTGCAGTGAGCTGATATCAACGTCACTGCATTCCTGCCTGGCAGCAGAGCAAGACCCGTCTCAAAAAATAATAATAATAAATTTTAAAAAATAACTGTTATTTTATGCCTAAGTGAAACAAATAAGCATTCATGCTAAGGATTCCTAACTGTATGCCTATACCTAGAAAAGCTATGTTTATTTTTGCATTTAGTTGCCTAAATATAAGCAGTAGACCAAGAGCCACTTCCTGAGTTGGCTCTTACTACTGGAGGTTTACTGAGCCGACTCCAACTGAAGAGATTATTAGAGGTTTGGAAATACCCTAAGAGAGAACCATATTACTAGTTCTTTTCATGTGGCACCCTCTGGTCTCAAGGGCTGCTCATTAGGATATAGAAACTGGATTCTTTTATTTTTTCTTTAGTATGGCAGTTGTAGAGAGTTACACAATGTACCACAATCATTTTCAGGTACCACATCACCTCCTTTGAGCCTTTGGTAAAAGGAAATGCTTTTATTTAAAACTTCTTTTTTTTTTTTTTTGAGACAGAGTTTCATTCTTGTTGCCGAGGCTGGAGTGCAGTAGTGCGATCTTGGCTTACTGCAACCTCTGCTTTCTGGGTTCAAGCAATTCTCCTGCCTCAGCCTCCCAAGTAGCTGGGATTACAGGCATGCACCACCACACCTAGCTAATTTTGTATTTATAGTAGAGATGGAGTTTCCCTATGTTGGTCAGGCTGGTCTCGAACTCCCAACCTCAAGTGATCCGTCCGCCTTGGTCTCCCAAAGTACTGGGATTACAGGCATGAGGCACCACACTTGGCCTTTTATCTAAGCCTTCCGTACCTTTCCAGCTGTTGTCGTAACTGGAAATTGTGAGTGCTTTCTAATTCAGGAGATATGCTTCTGGATTTCAGGTATCAGTACCCCACAATGGATGAGCTGGCTGAAATGCTGCCTCCTGTTCTTACCCACTTAAGGTAGGTTCATTCTGCAGTCTTCCATGCAGTTTGTATTGACTTTCTATGGTGAATTCTTTAGTGTCTGTTTCAGAGGATACGATGGTTAGCAAAACAGTAGTCACTCTCCTCCTAGAGCTTAGTGGGGTAACAAGTAAGCAGACAAATAATTAAGTTCTATAAGTCAGTGGGGGTGTTGTGATAGAGAATAAGGGTGGAATCTACCTCAGTAAGGCTAATTAGGGAATTCTCCTTTAGGAAGGTGGCACATACGCTGAAACCTAGAAGATTATAAAAAGCTACTTGAGCTGGGCCCAGTGGCAGGAAGATCACTTAACACCAGGAGTTTGAGGCTACGGTGAGCTGTGTTCCCACCATTGTACTTCAGCCTGAGTAACAGTGACACCCTGTATCTAAAAAATAAAAATAAAGCTATTTAAAAATTTTTAAAAGGGTTCATCTCACTGTGAAGCGAATGGTTTGGAGAGGAGTAAGAGAAAGCAGGGAGAACAGTTAAACTATTAACAATAGTCTGGGCAAGAGATAATAATAGCATAGTACTAGATGCTGTTGGGGGATGATTGAAGTAGATACTAGTAGATAGATGGATATATTCTCCACTGACTTGCTGATGGGTTGGATACTGACAGTAAGCTGCCAAGAATAACTCAGGTTTCAGTCACATATGTATGTATGTGTGTGTGTATATATATATATATAGTTTTGTTTTATTTTGTTTTGAGAGAGAGTCTTACTCTGCTGCCTAGGCTGGAGTGCAATGGCATGATCTTGGCTCACTGCAACCTTTGACTCCCAGGTTCAAACAATTCTCCTGCCTCAGCCTCTTGTTTAGCTGGGATTACAGGCGCAGGCCACCATACCTGGCTAATTTTTTTTTTTTTTTTTGTATTTTTAGTAGAGATGGGGTTTCACCACATTGGCTAGGCTGGTCCCAAATTCCTGACCTTCAGTGATCCGCCCGCCATGGCGTCCTGAAGTCCTGGGATTACAGGCATGAGCCACGATGCCTGGCCTCAGTTATATTTTATTTAACCATTAAAACCAACTTGAAAGTAGGTGGTGGGATTCTTCTTGGTTTTTTTCTTTTTTTGTTTGTTTTTTGAAGGCAGATTCTCACTCTGTCACCAGGCTTGAGATCAGTGGCGTGATCTCGGCTCACTGCAACCTCTGCCTCCCAAGTTCAAGTGATTCCCCTGCCTTAGCCTCCCGAATAGCTGGGACTACTGGCATGCCTCACCACACCTGGCTGATTTTTTGTATTTTAGTAGAGATGGGGTTTCACCATGTTGGCCATGATGGTCTCGATCTCCAGACCTTGTGATCCACCTGCCTTGGCCTCCCAAAGTGCTGGGATTTAGGTGTGAGCCACCACACCTGTCTGGGATCCTTGCTTTACAGATAATGAACTGAAGCTCAGATAGTTAGAGGAAAGAAAAAAACTTGCCCAAATTCTCACATCTAATAAATATCAGAGCCAGGATTTCAACCCAGGTTTGTATACTTTCAGTTAAGCAGTGCTGCCTCCAAATGAAGTTGACTCTGTCAGTTGTCCTTATGTGTCATTCACAGCCTGAAAAGTATCATTGGAATTGGAGTTGGAGCTGGAGCTTACATCCTCAGCAGATTTGCAGTAAGTATGCAGAGGATTAACGTCAACATCTTTGAGGCACTATCTGGGTCACAGCTATTACTGCTGTGTCAAACAACCAGACAGTATTCTGGGCCTTATGTTAGTTTTTCTGGAACTTCTGTCAGCTTTAGATATAGGTTGTATAAAGCCTACTTTGTACTTACAATACCTGAAAAATCACAAATGGGGGCAGTATGTCATCAATTAAAAGCAAGTCTAAGATACTGCTTCTAATGGAATTTTATACAGCCATTAAAGTTAAGTTTATGAAAAGCTTTATAATGATACATGGTTTACATACATTATAATGTTAACCAAAAAAGTTAGAATATAGGTTCACATAAAGTATGTCATAGCCATAGGAAAGGACTGGAAGAAAATGCACCAAAAAGTATTAATGGATTGATGTGTGGTAAGATAATATGAAATTTTGGCCAGGTGCTGTGGCTCATGCCTGTAATCCCAGCACTTTGGGAGGCCGAGGTGTGCGAATCATCTGACGTCAGGAGTTCAAGACCAGCCTGACCAAGATGGAGAAACCCTATCTCTACTAAAAATACAAAATTAGCCAGGCATTGTGGCGCATGCCTGTAATCCAGCTACTCGGGAGGCTGAGGCAGGAGAATTGCTTGAACCTGGGAAGCAGAGGTTGCAGTGAGTCGAGATTGTGCCATTGCACTCCAGCCTGGGAAACAAGAGTGAAACTCCGTCTCAAAAAAAAAAGAATATAAAGTTTTATTTTCTGCTTTTTGTAATTTCTCGGCTTGTCAAATTTTCTACAGTGAATGTAATCATGGTAGTAAGAGAAAAAAAGTGAGCTAGATAATTCAAGGAGATGTTAAGAAAAAAAAAAAGTAAGCTAGGGGCCTGGCGTGATGTCTCACACTTTTAATCCTGGCACGTTGGGAGGCTGATGCGGGCAGATCACCTGAGGTTGGGAGTTCAAGACCAGCCTGGCCAACATGGTGAAACCCTATCTCCACTAAAAATACAAAAATTAGAAGATGGCCAATTAGGAATAGCTCAGGATTGCAGCTCCCAGTGAAAGCACAGAGGGCAAGTGGACGCCGCATTTCCAGATGGATTTTTGTTGCCCACTGACCAGGAGATTCCCAGGCGGAGGAGCCCCATGGGTCGCCAGCCCGGCTGTTTAGGCCGGCGCGGCTGCTTTGCCGGCACCCCAGTGCGGCGGTTCTCCATACAAAATACACTGGTCTGGGTGCCCTTTTAGCTGGCGATTGGAGCCCCCAGTAGGCAGAGTTGCCCATTCATCTGATTAAAAAGGGGACTGAAACAGGGAGCCAGGTCAGGAGATTCCCAGGCAAAAAAAGCACCACAAATCTCAGCGCCGCTGTTTCAGCCAGCGTAGTGAGTCACCGCAGGGGAAATCACACAGATCCCGGCGCCTTTTCAACAGGCGACTGGAACACCTGGGAGAGAGTCAACCGTTCAATTAAAAAAAAAAAGGCTCTGAGGCAGGGAGCCAGGTGATCAGGCTCAGCTGGTCCCACCCCCACAAAAAAAAAAACAGCAATTGGAAATGCTCTGGGTTGAGAGTTTCGCAGCAAGCACAGCTGAACCCGGGATGGTCCAACTCTGTGGAGGAGGGGCGTCCGCCATACTGAGGCACTCCACCACTATGGAGGTAGTCCACCATTGCTGAGGCAGCCCGCCGTTGCCGAAGCAACCCGCTGCTGCCGAGGCACAACCTGCCATTACAGAGAGTGTGCCATTACAGAGGTGAGCCACCATTGCTGAGGCAGTTCTGACTACAGCCATATAAACAGGACTACAGGGAAGTTCACACGGCAGCTGGGCGGAGCCCACAGCAGCTCAGCAAAGCCTCTGCAGCCAGACAGTGACTAGGCTGCCTCCTTGCTGTGCAGGGCAGCCCTGATAAAAAGGCAGCAGTACAACGGAAACTCATAAATAAAGCCCTAACTCCCTGGGACAGAGCACCTGGGGGAAAAAAAGGAGTTTATGAGTTCTGCTGCAGCAAGACCTAAACGTACCTGCCCAGCAGCTCTGAATGAACAACGGAGCTCACAGCTCAGCACTTGAGCTCCTATAAAGGACAGACTGTCTCCTCAAGCAGCTCTCTGACCCGCGTATATCCAGAGTCACCTCATAAAGGAGAGATTAGACTCACATTTGGCAGGTATCCTTCCGGGGCAAAGATAGCAGAAGAAGAAACTGATAGCAACCCTTACTGTTCTGCAGTTGCTGCAGGTGATCCCCAGGCAAGCAGGGCCTGGAGTAGACCTCAGCAGTCCTACAGCAGAGGGGCCAGACTATTAGAAGGAAAATTAAGAAACAGAAATAACTTCATCATCAACAAACTGGACGTCCACTCTGAAAGTCAGCAAGTACAAAGACGACAGGTGGATAAATCCACAAAGATGGGAAGAAACCAGCACAAAAAAGATGAAAACACCCGAAACCAGAACACCTCTCCTCCTACAATCAATCATAACTCCTCACCAGCAAGGGAACAAGGCTGGATAGAGAATGAGTGTGATGAAATGACAGAATCAGGCTTCAGAAGGTGAGTAATAGGAAACTTTTGTGAGCTAAAAAAAACATGTTCTAACCCAATGCAAAGAAACTAAGAACATTGAAAAAAGATTTGACAAAATGCTAATGAGAATGGACAACTTAGAGAGGAATATAAGTGAACTGATGGAGCTGAAAAACACAACACGAGAACTTCTCGAAGCATGCACAAGTTTCAACAGCCAAATTGACCAAGCAGAAGAAAGGATATCAGAGGTCGAAGATCAACTCAATGAAATAAAACGACAACGCAAGATTAGAGAAAAAAGGATAAAAAGGAATGAACAAAGCCTCCAAGAAATGTGGGACCATGTGAAAAGACCTAATCTACATTTGATAGGTGTACCTGATTGTGACGAAGAGAATGAATCCAAGCTGGAAAATACTCTTCAGGATATTATCGAGGAAAACTTCCCCAACCTAGCAAGGCAGGCCAATATTCACGTACAGGAAATACAGAGAACACCACAAAGATATTCCTCAAGAAGAGCAACCCAAAGGCACATAATCATCAGATTCACCAGGGTTGAAATGAAGGAGAAAATGCTAAGGGCAGCCAGAGACAAAGGCTGGGTTACCCACAAAGGGAAGCCCATCAGACTCACAGCAGATCTCTCAGCAGAAACCCTACAAGCCAGAAGAGAGTGGGGGCCAATATTCAACATCCTTAAAGAAAAGAACTTTCAACCCAGAATTTCATATTCAGCCAAACTAAGCTTCATAAGTGAAGGAAAAATAAAATCCTTTACGAATAAGCAAGTACTCAGAGATTTCATCACCACCGGGCCTGCTTTACAAGAGCTCCTTAAAGAGGCACTAAACATAGATAAGAACAACCAGTACCAGCCACTCCAAAAACATACCAAATGGTAAAGAGCGTCAACACAATGAAGAATCTGCATCAACTAACGGGCAAAACAGCCAGCTAGCATCAAAATGGCAGTATCAAATTCACACATAACAATATTAATTGTAATATTTACTAAATGTAAATGGACTAAATGCCCCAATCAAAAGACACAGACTGGCAAATTGGATAAAAAGCCAAAACCCATGGGTGTGCTGTATCCAGGAAACCCATCTCACATGCAAGGATACACAAAGGCTCAAAATAAAGGGATGGAGGAAGATTTACCAAGCAAATGGAGAGCAAAAAAAAGCAGGAGTTGCAATTCTCATCTCTGATAAAAGAGACTTTAAAGCAACAAAGATCAAAAGAGACAAAGAAGGACATTACATAATGGTAAAAGGATCAATGCAACAAGAAGAGCTAATGATCCTAAATATATACACACTCAATACAGGAGCACCCAGATACATAAGGCAAGTTCTTAATGACTTACAAGAGACTTAGACTCCCACACAATAATAGTGGGAGACTTTAACATCCCATTGTCAATATTAGACAGATCAACCAGACAGAAAATTAACAAGGATATCCAGGACTTGAACTCAGACCTGGAACAAGCTAACCTAATAGACCCTTCCTGACACCTTAGACTAAAATTAACTCCAGATGGATTAAAGACTTCAACATAAGACCTAACACCATAAAAACCCTAGAAGAAAATCTAGGCAAAACCATTCAGGACACAGGCGTAGGCAAGGACTTCATGACCAAAACACCAAAAGCATTGGCAACAAAAGCCAAAATAGACAAATGGGACCTAATCAAACTCCACAGCTTCTGCACGGCAAAAGAAACAGTCATTAGAGTGAATTGGCAACCAACAGAATGGGAAAAAATGTTTGCAGTTTACCCATCTGACAAAGGGCTGATATCCAGAATTTACAAAGAACTAAAACAGATTTACAAGAAAAAAATAAGCCCATTCAAAAGTGGGCGAAGGATATGAACAGACACTTTACAAAAGAAGACATACATGAGGCCAACAAACGTGAAAAAATGCTCATCATCACTGGTTATTAGAGAAATGCATATCAAAACTACATTGAGATATCATCTCACGCCAGTTAGAATGGCAATCATTAAAAAATCTGGAGACAACAGATGCTGGAGAGGATGTGGAGAAATATGAACACTTGTACACTGTTGGTGGGAGTGTAATTAGTTCAACCATTGTGAAAGACAGTGTGGCAATTCCTGAAGGACCTAGAAATAGAAGTTCCATTTGACCCAGCAGTCCCATTACTGGGTATATATCCAGAGGATTATAAATCGTTCTTTTATGAGGACACACGCACACGAATGTTCATTGCAGCACTGTTTACAATAGCAAAGGCTTGGAACCAACCCAAATGCTCATCGATGATAGACTGGACACGGGAAAAATGTGGCACATATACACCTTGGAATATTATGCAGCCATAAAAAACGATGAGTTCGTGTCCTTTGTAGGGACATGGATGAACCTGGAAACCATCATTCTCAGCAAACTGACACGAGCAGAAAATCAAACACTGCATGTTCTCACTCATAGGCGGATGTTGAACAGTGAGAACACATGGGCACAGGGAGGGGAGCACTACACACTGGGGTCTGTTGGGGGGAACTAGGGGAGGGACAGCGGGGGAGCGGGGAGTTGGGGAGAGATAGCATGGGGAGAAATGCCAGATATAGGTGAAGGGGAGGAAGGCAGCAAATCACACTGCCACGTGTGTACCTTTGCAACAATATTTCATGTTCTTCACATGTACCCCAAAACCTAAAATGCAATTAAAAAAAATACAAAAATTAGCCAGGTGTTGTGGCAGGTGCCTATAATCCCAGCTACTCAGGAGGCTGAGGCAGGAGAATTGCATGAACCCTGGAGGTGGAGGTTTCAGTGAGCCAAGATTGCACCATTGCACTTAAGCCTGGGCAACAAGAGTGAAACTCTGTCTCAAAAACAAAAAAGAAATTAAATTAAAAAAAATAAGCTAGAGAGTTTTGAGATTACATGGAAATGCTACTACTGTATTAAAGAAAAAAAATTTTTCTTTGAGACAGTCTTGCTCTGTTGCCCAGGCTGCAGTGCAGTGGTGTGATCTCAGATCACCAGAACCTCTGCCTCCTGAGTTCAAGTGATTCTCAGTCTCCCGAGTAGCTGGGATTGCAGACACACACCCCTGCACCCAGCTAATTGTTGTATTTTTAGTAAAAATGGGGTTTCACCATGTTGGTCAATCTGGTCTCAAACTCCTGACCTTGTTATCCACTTGCCTTGTCCTCCCAAAGTGCTGGGATTACAGGCATGACCCACTGCGCCAGGCCAGAAGTTATTATTATTTTTTTTTTAATACCTCCTTAGTGATAGGAGAGTCTTCTGGGGATGATATAAACTGTTCAGGTGGTTTCAGAAAAAAAAAAACTTTAGAAGCCCCTGTTGAGAACAAAGATAAATTAATATGGAGCAGCCCCTTGTGCCAAGGGCACTTTCCCAATGAGGAAGATCCACCATGAGTTAAACAACTGCATATAGGTCTTTGCAAAGCAAGATAATTTGACAGTAATACAAGTAATTTGATAGTAAAACTAGAAAGTGGTTTCTAGATGCTAAGTCCAGGAAGAGCTATTTTCCACAGATTCTCCCTGTTTGTAGTCTTAACTTTCAAATGTAAGGCATTAAGGCATGTAAGTCAGAACTGATCAACCATGTTCCAACTGTTTAGGAGAACTGTGGGAGTGTAGCTTTCATACTATTGTCTTTGCCTCATCTTTCAGCTCAATCATCCAGAATTTGTGGAAGGCCTTGTGCTCATTAATATTGACCCTTGCGCTAAAGGCTGGATTGACTGGGCAGCTTCCAAAGTAAGTACCACATGAAGGTGTCCATCAGCTTTTCTTTGCCCCTCTCAAAACAGCTTACCTATTTTTCATTGAGGTATATATACAGGTAAGGGTAAAAATGTTAAGTATGTAACTTGAAGAATGTTTACATACATTATCACCATCCAATCAAAATATGGAATGTTTCCAGCTCACTCCGGGATTCCCTTGTATCTTTTCCTAATTGATACTTCCTCTCCTTCCCAGAAATAACCAATTCTGACTTTTGTCACCAGAGATGTTTTATCTGTTTTTAAAGACTTTTATCTGTTAAATTGGAATCATAGAAAATGTATTCTTTTCTGTCTGGTTTCTTTCATTCATCACAGTGTCTGTGAGACTCATCCAAGTTATGTGTAGCAGTAGTTCTAAATTACAATTTGGCTGAGCGTGGTGGCTCACACCTGTAATACCAGCACTTTGGGAGGCTGAGGTGGGCAGATCACCTGAAGTCAGGAGTTTGAGACCAGCCTGGCCAACATGGTAAAACCCCATCTCTACTAACAATACAAAAATTAGCCAGGAAAGGTGGCGGGCACCTGTAATCCCAGCTACTCAGGACGGAGACGGGAGAATCACTTGAACCTGGGAGGCGGAGATTGCAATGAGCTGAGATCGCGCCATTGCACTCCAGCCTGGATGACAAAAGTGAAACTCCGTCTCAGAAAAAAAAAATTATAATTTAACCTTAGTTCCAAATTATTGTTTAGTAACCTATTGTGTGAATACACAGAATGAGTTGTTTCTGTTATTTGGATCTTATGAGTAAAGCTGCTGTGCATATTCCTTATGTCTTTCAGTAGACATACATGTTTATTCCTCTTGGGTTTATACCTGTGAGTGAAATTGCTGGGTCATAGGGCAGTTGTATAGTTTTTTTGTTTGTTTTTTTTTTTGTTGTTTTTTTTTTTTTTTTAAGACGAAGTCTCACTCTGTCGCCCAGGCTGGAGTGTAGTGGTGTGATCTCAGCTCACTACAACCTCTGCCTCCTGGGTTCAGGCAATTCTCCCTCAGCCTCATGAGTAGCTGGAAGTACAGGTACGTTCCACCACGCCCAGCTAATTTTTTTGTATTTTTTTAGTAGAGATGGGGTTTCACCATGTTGACCAGGCTGGTCTTGAACTCCTGACCTCGTGATCCGCCCACCTCGGCCTACCAAAGTGCTGGAATTACAGGCATGAGCCACTGCGCCTGGTCAGGGCAGTTGTATGTTTAGCTTTAGTAGATACTGTCAGTTTTCCAAAGTATTTGACCAAGACTAGGCATGGTAGCTCACACCTGTAATTCCAGCACTTTGGGAGGGTGAGACAGTAGGATCATCTGAGGTCAGGAGTTCAAGACTAACCTGGCCAACATGGCAAAACCCTGTCTCTACTAAAAATAGGAAAATTAGCTAGGGTGTGAGGGCATGGTGGTATACATCTGTAATCCCAGCTACTCAGGAGGCCGAGGCAGGATAATTGCTTGAACCCAGGAGGTGGAGGTTGCAGTGACGCGAGATCACACCACTGCATGCCAGCTTGGGCAACAGAGTAAGACTGCTTGTCTCAAAAAAAAATAAAATAAACTGTTTTCAAAGTATCTGACCATTTACACACCAGCAGTGTGTGAAAGTTCCAGTTGCTCCACATCCTCACCAACATTTGATATTACAGGTACTTTTAATTTTAGTAAAAGACGAGCAGTTTTAATATTTTAATATACATTATTTTTACATTTTCCATCACCAAAATAGCTTTAGTCATTAAAATAAGAATTTTTAATTATATCATCTTTTAAATTTTAAGCTATGCTATAGGTAGATAATCCTGGGTTTTAATTTGTATCTCCCGAAGGGTAAGTGATATCAAACTTATTTTCTTGAATATCCTCCTGTGAAGTGCTTGTTCAAGTCTTTTGCTCTCACCCTCATTCCCCTCCGCACTTCAAAAAATATTCTGGATTGGGTACGGTGGCTCACGCCTATAATCCCAACACTTTGAGAGGCTGAGGCAGGCAGATCATGAGGTCAGGAGTTCAAGACCAGCCTGACCAACATGTTGAAACCCTGTCTCTACTAAAAATACAAAAATTAGCTGGGTGTGGTGGTGCACACCTATAATCCCAGCTACTCAGGAGGCTGAGGCAGGAGAATCACTTAAACCCAGGAGATGGAAACTGCAGTGAGCCTAGATTGTACCATGGCACTCCAGCCTGGGCAACAGAGCAAGACTCAGTCTCAAAAAAAAAAAAAAAATTCTGTATGTGAGTCCTGGGTACATGGACTCACAGGTATCTTCTCCTAGTCTATAGTTTGCATTTTCACTTTCTTAATGAAATGAATGGATCACTCTACAACGAACCCCAACACCGTATCTGGGCTACTGCTTCCAAAGACATGTGGATTGCTGATGTTTGCCAACTGAAAAATGAAGGAATTTAACCTCTAAAATCTATTAAGGAGATAGGAAACTAAAGGGGAATGCTAATGACTTTACAAATATAAGCACTCCTAGTCCTAAACCAGAGTAAAAAATGGGTGATTCTGTTGGCAAAGGATATTTTTTAAAAAGAAAAAAACGGGAATAAGGAAAAAATTATATCCCTTGTGTTACAGGATCTCTGGGGTGTCAATTTTTCTAGCTGGAAACATAACACCTTTGTTTGAGTTTCTGTCCTGCATCCAGGAAGAATGAGGTACACAGACAAATGAAGGGTGAAGAAGAGTTTTATTTAGTGTTAGAATAGCTCAGAGGAGTGGGTAGCTCCTCTCTGTAGGCAGGTTTTCCAGTCGAGTGTTCAGCTCTTAGCAGGCAGGAGGCCCTGGAGAGGGTGGCTCCTCTCCACAGGCAAGTCATTCTGATGTCTCTGCAGGTTTCTGAAGCTCTCAGCAGAGAGGATAGCTCTTCTCTGCTGACAGGTCATTTCTGTAGCTCCAGTGGAGAGTGTTTTCCTCTCTGCAGCTGGTTGTCCAGTCTCTGTCTTCTTATCCTTTGGTTATCCTCTACCCTGCTCTGGCTGAGGCCAGGGCTTTTATGGACCTCAGAAAGGATGAAATGCACGCTGACTGGTACATGGGCAGGCCAGGAAGAGGTGTCACAAGTCCCCACTCCAGTCCAGGGTCCTAGCAGTCCAGCCCCCAGACTTCAGGGTCTCCTTGCTCTGAGGGTGGGGCCTTACTGGGGACCCCGCTCCCTTCTACCCAGGACTCCATCTGCCTCCTACTGCCATTCATGGCCCCAGTGCATGGCAGGGTCCTTCCTGGGGTGCCCAAGAATGCAGGCTGCAGAGATTCCCCAGTCCTGCCACCGCAGCTGCATCTGGGAGCTCCTACCCCACCAACTCAGAAGGGGCAGGGCTCCCGCTTGTCCCCTGCTCTTGCCTGCTTCCTGGAGCCGGAAGCCCAGGTCTGCAGCCAGAGGCCCAGGTCTGCAACCACAGGCGTGGTGGCTGCAGCAGCACCTGGAAAGGCAAATCCTGTTTGTTCACAGTTCCCCCAGGAGCACAGGGAGGCTCAGATCCACAGCTGCAGTTTGGACAGCTGTAGCCCTGTCCAGGAGGGCAGGGTTCTTGCTTGCTTCATAGAGCAGGAGGCTTGGGTCTGCAGCAGTTGGCAGCTCCTATCCCAACCCAGAAGGGGTGGGGCTTCCACCTGGGCAACAGAGCAATACTTCACCTCAAAATAATAATAATTTACTGTTGTGGGGTGCAGTGGCTCACACTGTAATCTGAGAACTTTGGGAGGCCAAGGAGGGTGGATCACCTGAATCAGGAGTTCAAGACCAGCCTGGCCAACATAGCGAAGCCCCGTCTACTAAAAATTTAAAAATTAGCCGGGCGTGGTGGTGCACACCTGTAATCCCAGCTACCCAGGAGGTTGAGGCATGAGAATTGCTTGAACCCAGGAGGCAAAGGTTGCAGTGAGCCGAGATCATGCCATTATACTGCAGCCCGGATGACAAGAGTGAAACTCCATCTCAAAAAAAAAACGAAAAAAACACTGTTTTTAGGTTAGAAAGGAAACAATTTTGAACCATTTTCTTGATGAAGTACAAATGTTATGTGTATGTTATTTTAATGTAAAACTATGGTATTTTATAGTAAATCACTGATTTCCAAAGAGAAGATTAAGTTTTTATTTCCTGCTAAAAGGTCCCCAATCTGTTCATCTCATCTTGAACAAATGCTTACCTCTCAGTACTTTCACATTGCCATAAATATTCTAATACACCATTGCAGGACATTGTCTCCAAAATGCTACCACCCAACTTGTTAAATGTATCAACAATCTTTATTGGCCAGGCACAGTGGTTTAACTCTGTAATCTCAGCACTTTGGAAAGCTGAGGCAGGAGTATCGCTTGAGCCCACGAGTTTGAGACCAGCCTGGGCAACATAGTGAGACCCTATCGCTACAAAAAGATTATTATAGGTAGGCCAGGCACAGTGGCTTATGCCTGTAATCCCAGCACTTTGGGAGGCCGAAGTGGGAGGATCACCTGAGGTCTGGAGTTTGAGACCAGCGTGACCAACATGGAGAAACCCCGTCTATGGTAAAAATACAAAATTAGCCAGGCATGGTGGCATATGCTTGTAATTCCAGCTACTTGGGAAGCTGAGGCAGGAGAATCGCTTGAACCCGGGAGGCAGAGGTTGCGATAAGCCGAGATCACGCCATTGCACGTCACCCTGGGCAACAATAGCAAAACTCTGTCTCAAAAAAATAAAACAAAAAAAATTTAAAAGTAGCTAGTTGTCCACCAGGCATGGTGGCTCATGCCTGTAATCTCAGCACTTTGGGAGGCCAAGGCAGGGCGGATCACCTGAGGTCCAGAGTTTGAGTCCAGCATGACCAACATGCCGAAACCGTGTCTCTACTAAAAATACAAAAATTAGCTAGATGTGGTGGCAGGCTCCTGTAGTCCCAGCTACTTGGGAGACTGAGGCAGGAGAATTGCTTGAACCTGGGAGGTGGAGGTTGCAGTGAGTCGAGATCACGCCAGTGCACTCCAGCCTGGGCAACAAAGTGAGACTGTCTTAAAAAAAAAAAAAAAAAGTTGTTGTGGCACATGTCTGTGGTTTCAGCTACTTGGTAAGCTGAGGTGGGAAGAATACTTGAGCCCAGGAGGTCGAGGCTGTAGTGGACCATGATCACACCACTGCACTCCAGCCTGGGTGACAGAGAGAGACCCTGTTTCAAAAAAAAAAAAAAGGCCGGGCGCGGTGGCTCAAGCCTGTAATCCCAGCACTTTGGGAGGCCAAGGCGGGTGGATCACGAGGTCAAGAGATCGAGACCATCCTGGTCAACATGGTGACACCCCGTCTCTACTAAAAATACAAAAAATTAGCTGGGCATGGTGGTGCGTGCCTGTAATCCCAGCTACTCAGGAGGCTGAGGCAGGAGAATTGCCTGAACCCAGGAGGCAAAGGTTGCGGTGAGCCGAGATCGCACCATTGCACTCCAGCCTGGGTAACATGAGTGAAACTCCGTCTCAAAAAAAAAAAAAGAATTTGGCTGGGCATGGTGGCTCACGCCTATAGTCCTAGCTCTTTGGGAGGCCAAGGCAGGAAGATCGCTTGAGGCCAGGAGCTTAAGACTAGCCTGGTCAACAGAACAAGACTTTGTCTCTACAAAAATTTTAAAATTAGGCATGGTCGTACATGCCTCCAGTCCCAGCTACTCAGGAGGTTGAAGGGGAAGGATTGCTTGAGCCCAGGTGTTCAAGGATGCAATGAGCCATGATCATGTTACTGCCGTCCTGCCTGGGTGATAGAGAGAGACCCTGTCTCAAAAATAAATAAATAAATAAAAAACTATATTGATACTCAAACCATGAAATTCAATAAGTCAATATCTGAGAACTTTTCTGAAAGGTAGTGATCCTTAAAAAGCTTTAAAGAGTTGGGCAATAATTTTTTTTTAATGTAACACCTATATAGTGCTTACTGTGTACCAGGCACTGTTCTTAAATGTTTTAGATATACTTAACCTTTTTCATCTTCAGGACAATCCACTGGTGCCATTACTATCCCACAGAGAAATTATTACGTAAAATTACATTGCTAGTAAGTTGCAGACCCAGAATAGTCATTAAAGCATTCTTTTTAATGCTTTAAAGCATTCATTAAAGTGGACAGATTACTTGAGGTCAGGAGTTCAAGACCAGCCTGGCCACCTGGCCAACATGGTGAAGCCTGTCTCTACTAAAAATACAGAAACATAGCCAAGTGTGGTGGTACGTGCCTGTGGTCCCAGCTACCCAGGAGCTGAGATTGGAGAATCACGTGAAAACTTAAGGTTGCGGAGATTGCAGTGAGCCTGGATTGTGCCACTTCACTCCAGCCTGGGTAACAGAACAAGAGAATGAGACCCTGTCTCAGGCCAGGCGCGGTGGCTCATGCCTGTAATCCCAGCACTTTGGGAGGCTGAGGCGGGTGGATCACAAGGTCAAGAGATTGAGACCATCCTGGTCAACATGGTGAAACCCCGTCTCTACTAAAAATACAAAAAATTAGCTGGGTGTGGTGGCGCGCGTCTGTAGTCCCAGGTACTCAGGAGGCTGAGGCAGGAGAATTGCCTGAACCCAGGAGGCGGAGGTTGCGGTGAGCCGAGATCGCGCCATTGCACTCCAGCCTGGGTAACAAGAGCGAAACTCCGTCTCAAAAGAAAAAAAAAAAAAAAGAGAATGAGACCCTGTCTCAAAACAAAACAAAACAACCACCAAAAAAAATGAATAATGTTCTTTTTTTTTTGTATTCTGTTTTTTTTTTTTTTGCAATTTTCTGTGATAAGCATATTTTTATTAAAACTATTAAAATATTCTACTTACCAGCAAACTAGATTCTAAATAATTTATCCATCTCTTCCTACATTTACATTTTGGAGTAATGAGGTATTTCTCAGCTAAAACACATTAACAATGCTGTTGGCAGATGCTGTGGAAATTCCTTCTCACAGCCTGGCTTATTTAAAATTTGTCCTGGCTGGGCACAGTGTTTCACACCAGTAATCCCAGCACTTTGGGAAGCGAAGGCTAGAAGATTGCTTGAGCTCAGGAGTTTTAAGACTACCCTGGGCAACATAGTGAGACCTCATATCTACAAAAAATTTAAAAATTAGCCAGGCATGGTGGTGTGCACCTGTAGTCCCAGTTACTCAGGTGGCTGAGGCCAGATCTCTTGAGCCTGAGAAGTCAAGGCTACAGTGAGCTATGATGACACCACTGCACTCCAGTCTGGATGATAGAGTAAGACCCTATCAATCAATCAGTCAATCTGTCTTGTCCTAATTCTTACTTAGTATGTGGGTACAATTTTTTTTTTTTTTTTTTTTAGATGGAGTCTTGTTCTGTTGTCCAGGCTGAAGTACAGTGGCATGATCTTGGCTCACTGCAACCTCCGCCCCCTGGGTTCAAGTGATTCTTCTCTCTTAGCCTCCTGAGTGGCTGGGACTACAGACATGTGCCATCACACCTCGCTAATTTCTGTATTTTTTGTAGAGACAGGGTTTCACCATGTTGGTCAGGCTGGTCTTTATTTATTTATTTATTTATTTTTTATTGCATTTTAGGTTTTGGGGTACATGTGAAGAACATGCAAGATTGTTGCATAGGCACACACATGGCAGTGTGATTTGCTGCCTTCCTCCCCTTCACCTATATCTGGCATTTCTCCCCATGCTCTCTCTCCCCACCTCCCCATCCCCCCGTCCCTCCCCCATTTCCCCCCAACAGACCCCAGTGTGTAGTGCTCCCCTCCTTGTGTCCATGTGTTCTCATTGTTCAGCACCCGCCTATGAGTGAGAACATGCGGTGTTTGATTTTCTGCTCTTGTGTCAGTTTGCTGAGAATGATGGTTTCCAGGTTCATCCATGTCCCTACAAAGGACACGAACTCATCATTTTTGATGGCTGCATAATATTCCATGGTGTATATGTGCTACATTTTCTCTGTCCAGTCTATCATCAATGGGCATTTGGGTTGGTTCCAGGTCTTTGCTATTGTAAACAGTGCTGCAATGAACATTCGTGTGCATGTGTCCTTCAGGCTGGTCTTAAACTCCTGACCTCAGGTGATCCGCTGGCCTCGGCCTCCCAAAATTCTGGGATTACAGGCGTGAGCCACCACGCCTGGCCTAATTTTCTGTAGTTTATAACCTGTGCATCACTGATAGCCTATGTGAAGATTTCAGGACTTCTCCTCAGTCTTTCTGGGACTACATAAATCCTACTCCAGGCATAGCCATGTCTATCCCTCACTACCTCTTCCCCATGCCTATCCCCATTTCAGTACTTCACCCCTAATCAGCATAAAACCAAGGAAGAAGGCTTAACAGGAATCAGCAACATAATTTGAGTTGGAAATTTTTCTGAAAATAGACTAACAGAATGCAGATTTACACAGATTGCTGCATTTGTTAGACTGTGGGATGCATCATTTTGAAATGGGAAAAATTGGAGAAAAATGTTTAAAACTCAAGAACATTCTGTAAACAAGTCATTTCTTCCCACTCCCTGAAATACAGATAGCAAAAACTGGAAGAAAGAGAAAAAAACTGTTTTTGTCTCTTGGAAGTCATGGGTGTGATTGTTAAGTCAGTCCTTATCAGCCGTAAATCCAGTGTAAATGCAGAAACACAGGCTGGAATGAAGTAGCAAACAGCCATGAGGTCTAGGTCAGGCTTTCAGAGAAGGAATGGTCAGCATCTCTTCTAGTTCCCTATTTCACAGCAGGCTTCATTATTACCCTGGAAAAGAGACTTAGTTTTTTTCTGACTTGTTTCTCGTCTCTGTGTTTCTTTGAAACCACTATCTCATGAAAATGTATAACACTGAATTGTGGGGGTTTGTCATTTGTTTTTTAAAAGATAACATATATAATAAAGTGTACTTGTTTTAATTGGGCAGCTTGGTAAATTTTGGCATATGCTTACCCTCTTAAGACAGAGTTTTTATTTTTTTTCAGCTCTCTGGCCTGACAACCAATGTTGTGGACATTATTTTGGCTCATCACTTTGGGCAGGTAAGTGCCTGTTCCAGCCAGAAGAGCTGTGTTTATTGGCTTGCATGCAAATTCTTATTTTACTTCAGGAAAGAAGGGCTGCCTTAGAATTTACCTCATCCCAGCAAATAACACTTCCAATGTTGAAAGGCATGTGGCCTTGCAGAGGTGAATGCTTAACTCATTGCCACATGGTTGTTGCCATGTGGAACTCTGAGAGAAGACAGCGGCTCTGGCTACCTGTTCCTGTAAGTAGCATGCCATCTGTTAATGTTTGACAGCATCACGTGCCTCCCCAAACATCTTTAGAGCCATTAGGAGGTCTGGGAAAGGCTTCACAGAAATAGAAATTTCAGGGAAAAAAACTGTGAAGTAATAGTGCTAAAAGAAGCTTAGAGATTATCTTGTTCAAGCCCCATGTTTTTCGGCTGGGGAGGAAAGGAAACTGAAGTCTTCACAAAAAGTGGCAGTTATCATGTACATAATTGCTGGGTGGGGAAGGGGACTTAACTGGCAGGTAAGGGGGACCCTGGTCCTCTTCAAAGGGAAGAGTGAGTTGGGTGACTGACAAAGGAGTGATGGAATAAGTGGGCAATGAGGTCAGAGAGCTGGGGTGGAGAGAGGAGAATAATATATGTAGGAATAGTGAGTAATCTGCTTCATTGAAAATATTATCCTGAAGGAAAATGGCAGATGGGAAGAAAACTAGCATTTACCAACTACTGATTATTTATAAGACTTTAGATGTGCAAACTATTTTTTACACGGTTCTATTAGTCTGATTTTAAGATAGGGAAACCAAAGACCAGAGAGGCAACGTACTTTGCCACCACCATCCAGATGGTGAGTGTGGAGCTGACATTTGAATCCAGGTCAGGCCAAGTCCAAAGTCTATAGTCTTTTATTTCATTATATTTTTATCAGAGTTACAAATTCACATATATTTTAGAGTAGAGAAGTTCTACCGGGCTTATTACAAATTGGCTGTCACCTACCCCATATTCTGCTTTTTAGTGGCAACCACTTTCATTCTTCCAGCTGATTCCTTTGGGTTTTGCCTCCATATTGCCCTCTCTTTAATTGAGATAGTACTTACAAATAGTGTAATGCACACATCCTAAGTACATCTCAGTGATCATTTACTGATGTATACTTTCATGTAACTACCACCCAGAACACAAACAGAACATTTTCATCATTAACATTTCATCATTTTCATCACCCCACAAAGCTTTCTTCATTATCCTTTCCCACTCAATAATTCCCCACCCCAAACAAGGTATTCACTATTCTGTTACCTCCGTAGATTATTTTTGACTGTCTTAAACTTCATATAAATGGAATAACAGAATGTATATTTCTCTGAGTCTGGCTTCTTTTGCTCAACATACTGTCTTTTTTTCATCCATGTCATTCCATGTGTCAGTAGTTCATTCTTTTTTATTACTGTGTAGCAGCAGTTCATTGCGTTAATATACTACAAATTAGGGGTTGGATGCAGTGGCTCACGTCTGTAATCCCAGCGCTTTGGGAGGCTGAGGTGGGCAGATCACTTGAAGTCAGATGTTTGAGACCAGCCTGGCCAACATGGTGAAACTCTGTTTCTACTAAAAATACAAAAATTAGCCAGGCATGGTAGCATACACCTGTAGTTCCAGCTACTTGGGAGGCTGAGGCAGGTACCCCATAGAGGTACCCTATCTTTATAAATATTCAAAAATCAGCCGGGCTCTGTAGCTGTGGTCCCAGCTACTCAGGAGGCTGTGGTGGGAGGATCACTTGAACCCAGAGTTCAAGACCGGCCTGGGCAGTATAGCAAAAATAAATACTACTTTATATAGGCCTTTGAGGGGAGAGCTATGGGCAGTATTTAATAATTTCTAAAAAGCAAGAACATCCTCACTATATGTATAGTAATATATATACACATACATATATAAAACTTTATATATATTACTCTATATATAACTATATAAATGTGTGTTTAAAACATTTGAGGTCATAGTGGATTGTCATAAGGCTGAAGAGTTCATTTAAAATTTAAGCATTCAGGCTGGTCTGAAGGTAGTGAATTATCTGAATTGATTGTACAGTTAGTTACAGATTGAATTCCTTGTTCTACTCCTTCCTTTCTCTCACCACTGCTCTTGACCAGCCAAAAAGATAATAAAAATTAAAAATAAGTTAAAAAAAAGTAAGCAAACTAATGCTTGTATTGCTTTGAAATGGAAGCAAACATGGTTTTTAAACATGAATAATGCTCATCTTCACCAATAAAAGAAAAAAAATAAAAATACATTTGTACTAGCAAGGATGTGGGGAGACAGGTAGTGTAAATAAATGAGAGAGTCTATATATCTGGATAAGGAATGATCTCTACTATACTTTACATGGCAAAGCAAGTGTAGAGCAATGTCTAGAGGACTATAATTTGTGTTTTTAAAAAGGTGGGAGTCAGTTTGTTTATTGAGAACAGGGTCTTGCTCTGTCATCCAGGCTGGATTACAGTTATGCCATCATAGTTTGCGGCAGCCTCAATTTCCTGGGCTTAAGCCATCCTCCTCCTTCAGCCTCCTGAGTAGCTAGTACTACAGGCATGTACTACTACATTAAGCTAGTTTTAAATTTTTTGGTAGAGGTGGGGGTCTCACTATGTTAACCTAGGCTAGTCTCAAACTCCTGGCCTCAAGTGATCCTCCTGCCTCAGCCTCCCAAAGTGCTGGAATTACAGGCATGAGCCACCACACCTGGGCTGTCATTTGGTATTCACTTTTCTTACGATAATATCTTTAGAATGAGACTGGGGCTCTCACAAAGTTTTCTAGTAGTGATTTGGGTACCCTTCAGTTTCATGTAGACTCTTGTCAGTATCCAACTGTATTCTGGGCTCATGACATCCGCATGGTGGTGAAAATGCAAACAAATTTTCCGTATCTCTATTTCTCTAATAAGGCTTGGTGGTGAAATTTACACATTGCCCTGGATTAACAGACTTCTTAATTATCCCTGATATATTTCTTTCCTTCAATGCAAGAATTTTCCTTTCTTGCATCCTTTAGTAATTTAGTAATAAATTACTAAATCAATAAAGTATCATAAACATAATGGAATATACAGTTATACAATGTATAATGTTAAATGGTGGTATATATAGATAGGTAATATGCTGATTATATCAGTGAAGGTATGGATAAATTAATTGGACAGCTTTATGGTTATTAAAAGAAATATAGCCAGGCACAGTAGCTCACATCTGTAATCCCAGCACTTTGAGAGGCCGAGGCAGGCAGATCACCTGAGATCAGGAGTTTGAGAGCAGCCTAGCCAACATGTTGAAACCCTGTCTCTACTAAAAATACAAAAAATTAGCCAGGTGTGGTAGTGTGCGCCTGTAGTCTCAGTTACTTGGGAGACAGGAGAATCACTTGAACCTGGGAGGCAGAGGTTGCAGTGAGCCAAGATCACGCACTGCACTCCTGCCTGGGTGAGAAAGAGCAAGATTCTGTCTCAAAAAATAAAATAATGTTACTGTTGAATATCTTGAACATGGTGAGACTCCGTCTCTACTAAAAATACAAAAAAATTAGCTGGGCGTGGTGGTCCATGCCTCTAATCCCAGCTACTCAGGATACTGGGGCAGGAGAATTGCTTGAACCCGGGAGATGGAGATTGCAGTGAGCCGAGACTGTGCCAAGGTGTTTGAGCAAGACTCTGCCTCATAAAAAAAGAAAAGAAATGTTACCTTCCATTTGTTTTACACTTTACGGTTTATATGTTTATATAACTTTTCTTATTTAATCTTTAAAACAGCCTTGTCAGATAGCTGGTTATTATCTTCATTTTTACAATATCTTCATTTTTGTAAAGAATGGCAGAACATTAAAAAAACATACAAAGAAATCAGGGTTCCGAGTAATGAGGTGACCTAAGTTCCACAGCTAGTACTTGAATCCATAATAGGTCCTTTTCTGCCCTCATCTGACACAGAATATGGCACTGAACCAGTCCGATGCAAATAATCAGCCATTCAGCCTACCAGTACATCAGTAGCCTCCAGGCTCTGCCCTAGTCCACATTATGAGCCGTGTGGTTTGGCTTGTGGTATTGAAAATGCAAAATAAATAAGATGGACTTGTTCTGGAGCTCAGAAGCTTACCTGTGTCTTCTTTGAATTGTTCTAGGAAGAGTTACAGGCCAACCTGGACCTGATCCAAACCTACAGAATGCATATTGCCCAAGACATCAATCAAGACAACCTGCAGCTCTTCTTGAATTCCTATAATGGGTATATTTTTTTCCTATTTCTTCACTTAAATGTAGACAGGTCTAAAAAGAGGAGGCAGGGGAGGAGAGAGGACTGTATCTAATCCTGAGACCAGCTCCTTCGAGGTGAAAATGTGAGCCCCTTCTGGTTTTCTAGAAACATGGGCAAAGATGGACGAAATGGGTCAGCTGTAACTTACCCAGAGTTATACAGCCAGGAAGAAGCAAAGCCAGATTTTGAACCTTGTCTCTCTAGCTGTTTCTTCTGTATAACGGAGCCTCCCTATTTTTAACTGAAATTAGAAAGATTAAGTCCTGTGCTAAACTCTGTTAGTTACAAAGAAAACACCCTTCCCCCTCTACTCAAAATGTTAGTCATTCTCTTCTCTTAAGGAATTTATTCCTATAAGTTAAACAGTTAGGACTTGAGAGCTTCAGTGGTGTTGCTGTTGGGTTTTGAGGCTGTCTCCTTGTAGCATCCCAAAGAGTCCTGCAGGGTTTAGCCAGGAGCCTCCTTCCTGCCCTGTACCACTCAGGACGCCACTGAAGTGGCGACTCAAGAACCAAGTCACAGGGCCTCTTCCCTTCTCAGGTGTGAAGGAAAGGTAAATTTCACATTCCTTGATACATTTTGGTGTTTATGACCAGAAAATAACCTGAGTTGCTATGACTTTACCCAAAAAGGGCATTGCTTTTGCTTTGTTTTTCTAGACGCAGAGACCTGGAGATCGAAAGACCCATACTGGGCCAAAATGATAACAAATTAAAAACATTAAAGTAAGTTCCTCAGTTTCTTCAACTGACTTGCCAAATATCTTTACATTCATAGACTAATTTGGTGTTCAGTGGAATTTATGTGCCTATTTGCTGAGTGACACCTCTTATTTTGCCTACCTAGGTGTTCTACTTTACTGGTGGTAGGGGACAGTTCGCCTGCAGTTGAGGCCGTGGTAAGTATGTTCTGATGCTGTGAAGATAATGAGATTAAAATGTAATAAAATTATAGGCTGGGCTGGGTGTGGTGTAAGCACACCTGTAATCACAGCACTTGGCGAGGCTGAGGCGGGCAGATCACCTGAGGTCAGGAGTTTGAGACCAGCCAGGCCAACATGGTAAAACCCCCATCTCTACTAAAAATACAAAAGCAAATTAGCCAGGCGTGGTGGTGGGCACCTGTAATCCCAGCTACTTGTGAGACTGAGGCAGGAGAATCGCTTGAACCTGGGAGGCAGAGGTTGCAGTGAGCCAAGATCATGCCACTGTTCTCCAGCCTGGGTAACAGAGCGAGACTCCCTCTCAAAAAAAAAAATTATAGGCTGGGTCCAGTGGCTCACACCTATATTCCCAACACTTTGGGAGGCTGAGGCAGGAGGATCACTTGAGCCCAGGAGTTTGAGACCAGTGGGCAACACAGTGGGACCCTAACCCTACAAAAAATTTTTTTGAATTAGGTTAGGCTTTAGTCCCAGCTTCTCTAGAGGCTGAGGTAGGAGGATTGCTTGAGCTTAGGAGGTCAAGCCTGCAGTGAGCCATGATTGCACCACTGCACTCCAGCCTGGGTGACAGAGTAAGACCCTGTCTCAAAAAAAAGTATGTAACACACTGCTGACACACTAGAAACAGTTGGTAAATACTAATTTTTGTTTTCTGATTACACATATCAGGGTTTGCTCTTTGTCATACATTTTAGAAAGTTAATTCGTCAATCACTAGATTTCATCAGATGGGATCAGTTTTGTTCTTGATTGTTTTGTGTGGTGGAGTTCACTTTGTGGCAAGTAGTACAACTAACACCATTTACTTATTATCAGATTTCTGACAGCGTCAGCCTTTAATCTGGAATAGATTGCCACCATAAATTGAGCAGGCTGGAAGGCCATCTCTACCTTCTTCTGAAGGACATAGCACATGGATAAAAATTATATATGCTCATTGTAGAAAATATGAAAAAAATGTAAAAATAGAAAGATGGGCTGGGCGCGGTGGCTCAAGCCTGTAATCCCAGCACTTTGGGAGGCCGAGGCGGGTGGATCACGAGGTCAACAGATCGAGACCATCCTGGTCAACATGGTGAAACCCCGTCTCTACTAAAAATACAAAACATTAGCTGGGCATGGTGGTGCGTGCCTGTAATCCCAACTACTCAGGAGGCTGAGGCAGGAGAATTGCCTGAACCCAGGAGGCGGAGGTTGTGGTGAGCCGAGATCGCGCCATTGCACTCCAGCCTGGGTAACAAGAGCGAAACTCCGTCTAAAAAAAAAAAAAAAAAAAAAAAAATAGAAAGATGGGGGAAAATCATAATCCCATTACCTAAAGACAGACGATTAATTACCTTTTGCTTTACATAGACCTGATTATATTGAATATATAAGATTTGGGGGCCTGACTTAACACTTTTGATAGCATTTTTCCATTATAGAGTCAGTATGTCTGTAGATTTACCATTATTTATTTAACTTTATTCTCATGTTGATTAATTCCAATTTTGTGCTATTAATAATGTTACTGTTGGCCAGGTGCAGTGGCTCACACCTGTAATCCCAGCACTTTGTGCTGGGATTCCAGCACTTTGGGAGGCTGAGGTGGGTGGATCACCTGAGGTCAGGAGTTCAAAACCAACCTGGCCAACATGGTGAAACCCCGTCTCTATTAAAAATACAAAAAATCAGCTAGGTGTGGTAGTGCATGCCTGTAGTCCCAGCTACTTGGGAGGCTTAGGAGAATCACTCGAACCCGGGAGGCAGAAGCTGCAGTGAGCCAAGAGTGCCAGTTGCTCGTACCTGTAATCCCCGCACTTTGGAGGCCAAGGTGGGTGGGCAGATAACCTGCGGTCAGGAGTTCGAGACCAGCCTGATCATGGTGAAACCCGAATATACTAAAAATGCAAAAATTAGCTAGGCATGGTGGCAGGTGCTTGTAATCCCAGCTCCTCAGGAGGTTGAGGCAGGAGAATGGCTTGAACCCAGGAGGTGGAGGTTGCAGTGAGCCGAGATCATGCCATTGCACTCCAGCCTGGGGGACAAGAGTGAGACTTCATCTCTAAATAAATAAACAAATAAAATGTTACTGTTGAACATCCTTAGGAAATCTTTGAATCTTTGATTATTTCTTTGGGATGGGTTTCCAGAAGTGGAATTAATATGTCTAAAATTATAAATCTTTATAAAGTTTTTAATACATTTTGCCAGGTTCCTTTCCAGAAAGGATATACCAATATATTGCCACCAGCACTGTATAAGCATGCCTGTTTCACTGCACGCTGTCTAGCATTGATTCTTTTTTTATTAGTAGTTAATTTGATAGGTTAAAAATAGTATCTCACTGTTTTAATTTGCATTTATTTGATTAAAAATGAAGTTGATAGTTTTTCATATGTCTAATTATGTGTTTCCCACAGCATATATAACTTAACCAAGTATCTCTGTGAAATTACTTGATTTCTTTGGCTGCCTTCACTTCTGCCCTAAATAGAGCAAAGGAGTCTATTTGGAAAGGAAGTCTAACAAATGATCAGAGGTTTAGACATAGTTGAGAAGGTTTGTGGAGCAGGGAAATGATTGTAGGGCAAGAATATGCAGTTGTGAAAGGATATATTCGCATGTCTCTGAACTGCCCTGTAAAACACTCTGTGTCTGGTGTGAAATACATGGCGTGTGGCTGGGCACAGTGGCTCACGCCTGTAATCCCAGCACTTTGGGAGGCCAAGGTGAGCAGATCACTTGAGGTCAGGAGTTCAAGATCAGCCTAGCCAACATGGCAAAACCCTGTCTCTACTAAAAATACAAAAATGAGCTGGGTGTGGTGGTGCACACCTGTAATCCCAGCTACTCAGTGGGAGAATTGCCTGAACTCAGGAGGCAGAGATTGCAGTGATCTGAGATCGTGCCACTACACTCCAGCCTGGGTGACAGAGCAAGACTCTGTTTCAAAAAAAAAAAAAAAAAAAACAGAAACAAAAACAATGATTGTGGTTGGTCTACCAGGTATCAAGACTTCTTATAATGTTGTAGAAATTGCAAAGTAGTGAATCAAGGAAAGCATGATTTATTATATTAAATCCAGATTTTGGAGTTCATTCTTCCTGAAAATATTTATAGTATATCTACTATGTTCTAAGCACTGTGCCTAGCAGTTAGAGATCCAGTTTTTAAATTCTACCTTTTAGAGTTAATGCACATTCTGTAGTGAACTGATACATTCGTTTGTCACAGCCTGCATTGTCCTTTGTGTAAAGCAAATCAAAACTCTGATTTGGTGATCCTCACTTTTTATATTATCCCTGATTTTAGAAGTTTTGTATACCTGCCCACCCGCAATCCTGAGAGCAAAAGTTCATCTGGATTACTGGGTCTTGCCTAGGTAATTTTAACCACTGCTTGCTGCCACTGCAGTCTGTCATGTAGGCCATTCCTAAAACAACTCAAATCCTGTCACTTCAGACACCTTCTGTGGCATCCCGCCTTCCACAGTTAGCTCCAGCCTGTGCCCCAGCCTCACCTCCAGTCTACCTTACCTCACACTTGCCTCTGCAGATGTACCGTTCCCACCTCTGGGCTATGCTTATGCTTTCACCTTGATTCTGGAAGTCCTCAAACACTCATACTTTCCCTTTATCTATCTGTAGAAATCCCACTCCTCTTTCTGTGCACCCAGCTTAGTTGTGAAGTGTTTAGAGTGGTTCATTTTGCTTTGTATTACATGTTTGACCCTGCTGGATCCAGACTATCAGCACAGATTTTATATGTGTGTTCTTAGCAAACCTATAAACGGAGAGATCCAGTTGATCAAAATAGCCCTAAAACAATGCTGAACCGAGAGATTGTCTCCCCAAAACGTTTTCTTTGAGATCCCTGCCCTCATGAACACAAGGGTACAGGATATCAGACATGTGAATGCACAGGGCTATGATTCTTAATTAAATGACTCTGAGAGAAAAATGAGAAGAGTTCAACTTTAGGCTGGATAGCCAAAGACCTTGAGATAGAAAAGAGTGAGGACATAAGGAATAACAAACCCACTAAGGAAAGAGTTAGGGGAGGTGCTTAGGACTTAGTCATTAGAACCGCTTGTGCTCAGAAGCCATTAAAGAGATCCCAGCAGGAGCAGGAGAGGACCCATGGTCCAGTCTGTTTTTTTTTTTTTTTTTTTAGACAGAATTTCACTCTTGTTGCCCAGGCTGGAGTGCAGTGGCGGAATCTCAGCTCACTGCAACCTCCTCCTCCCAGGTTCAAGTGATTCTCCTGCCTTAGCCTCCCGGGTAGTTGAGATTACAGGCATGCGGCACCACACCCAGCTAATTTTGAATTTTCAGTAGAGGCAAGGTTTCTCCATGTTGGTTAAACTGGTCTCGAACTCCTGACCTCAGGTGATCCACCCGCCTCAGCCTCCCAAAGTGCTGGAATTACAGGTATGAGCCACCACGCCCGGTGGTCCAGTTCATTTTTCAAAGAAGTAAGGTAACCGACTTCATGTTATGTAGCTAGCCAGCAGGAAGAATTAGATTTAGCTTGCAGTTTTTTTAAAGACATGTAACAGATTGAGAAAATTAGATAAGTGAAATTTTTAGATCTGCTCAGAAACTTCGAAGTGTATCATATAAATATATCTTTCACTATGTGTTTTGGTAATCTCTTAGGCTGGTTCAGCCTTCTCCAAACTGAGCTGTTGATCTTGCAAGATCATTCTCATGCCGAGCTATTTCATTTTTTTCCTAGCAACTCAAAATTATTCTCTCCTTTGTTAAATTTTAGGTCGAATGTAATTCCCGCCTGAACCCTATAAATACAACTTTGCTAAAGGTAATGTGTCTTCTTCCTTCACTTCCAGCCCTTTGTGAGTATATTATAAATGCTTCAGATTAATCATGTTTTCTGGAATAATTGCCCATAAAGAAGCAAAGCTTCCCTCTCTTTGGTTATCTCATTCTCTTTTTAAAATAATGCTTTTGGCCAGGTATGGTGGTTCATGCCTATAATCCCAGCACTTTGGGAGGCCGAGGCAGGTGGATCATGAGGTCAGGGGTTTGATACCAGCCTGGCCAATATGGCAAAACCCTGTCTCTACTAAAAATACAAAAATTAACTGGGTGTGGTTGCACATGCCTGTATTCCCAGCTACTCGGAGGCTGAGGCAAGGTAATTGCTTGAACCCAGGTGGCAGAGGTTGCAGTGAGCCGAGATCGTACCACTTCACTCCAGCCTGGGCAACAGAGCGAGATTCTGTCTCAAAAATAAATAAATAAAATAAAATAATGCTTTTTTGCTGATTACGTTCTCATTGTAGAACACTGCAAAAAAGAGAAAAACATAAAGAATAAAATAAATTTAAATTAACCATAATACTACCACCCAAACCTCTGGTAAAATATTGCTGTCCTTTCCTATACATTTTTACATCATTAGAGAGGTGCTGGGCATGATGGCTCACACCTATAATCCCAACACTTTGGGAGGCTGAGGTGGGTGGATCACTTAAGTCCAGTTATTTTGAGACCATCCTGGGCAACAGAGTGAGACCCTGTCAGAGAGTATTTACAACCCTGTATCTGTTTTACTCAACTTTATGACCGAGCCTTTTCCCATGTAACTAAAAACTTTGGCTGGGTGCTGTGGCTCACACCTATAATCCCAGTGCTTTGGAAGGCCAAGGTGGGAAGCCAAGAGTTCGAGAGCAGCCTGGGCAACACAGTGAGATTTAAAAAATAAGAAAATTAGGTGGGCTTGGTAGTGCGTTCCTGTAGCCCCAACTACTCAGGGGGCTGAGGCTAGAGGATTCCTTGATCCCAGGAATTCGAGGATTTGTGCCCTTGACACTGCACTCCAGCCTAGGTGACAGAGTGAAACCCTGTCTCAAAAAAAATAAAATAAAATAAACTTTGTAAACATTATTTAGTGTTGTGAGAATTAAGACAATGGATATAAATTCTTTATATGCAAAATCCTGCTGTATTGATAAGGAAACTTTCAGTAACAATTCTAATGATGAGGGTGGATGCATGTTCTTTCTCTTAGGGCAAATACAGAGCAACTCTTAAGCTAAATTGCTAGAGTTAGTATCAAGTGTCTCCCCTTTTGAGTATATCCTAGGCAGGAGTTTTTACCTGACATTGTTTCAACCTAGCTCTTCCTAGAGCCCCTACTAAAGTTTTTAGGTAGCTGACCATCTAGTTTGAATTTGGACTACTGTAGATTTAAATGCTGATCATATGTTGCTTACTGCTACATTTTCAGTGTGAAAGACCTCTGCCTCTTCCTTTTCTCTTTGAGGTGTGTTTGAAAGGAAAGTGCTGTTACCAGAAATGGCCTGTAGTTCCTAGAAAGATAACGTGAGGTTAGTGCTCCGAGGTGAGCACACTCAAAATGTTCTGGCCTCCAGTCAGTTGATGTCTGGTCTAAAAATTTTTTCTGGGGGCTGGGCATGGTGGCTCATGCCTGTAATCCCAGCACTTTGGGAGGCGGAGGCCAGGAGTCAAGACCAGCCTGCCCAACATGGTGAAACCTCATCTCTACTAAAAATACAAAAATTAGCCAGCCATGGTAGCAGGTGCCTGTAATCCCAGCTACTCCAGAGGCCGAGGCAGGAGAATCGCTTAAACCTAGGATGCAGAGGTTACAGTAAGCCAAGATTGCACCATTGTATTCTAGCCTGGGCAACAAGAGTGAGACTTTATCTCAAAAAAAATTTTTTTTGACAAAAATAAAATATCGATTGTTTTTTAAGTTTGCAGTTTCAAATTAATTTCTCACTTCAGGTTTGAATCAGTATTCAAAAGCACAAAACTACAATAACATAGCCAGTTATTTTGGGGAAAAAATGCCCATCTACAACCCCATAGAATAGAGTAGATAACTCCTATGGCAGATTGAACTTATTCTCAAACTGTTTGATAGGTACCCATCTTGGGAATAGTTTCTCCCAGTATTCTCTCTGCATATGGGAACTGTTCAGTGGTTCTCATCAGGTTTCAGCTCCTAAACTTCATGAAAATACAGCCTGCGCTAGTTTGGTTTTGTGTATATTTGTTAGATTAAGTGTTTATTTACAATCTTATGCTTAGAATTTTCGGGGGACTCGCCCTTGTTAATCTCAAATTTCTGTGTCTTCTGTGGCACTCTCCTCAGTAGCAGTCCCCCCTCAAAATAAGTTTTAATGCCAGTGAGTTGAAACCATGGGGTTCGTGTCCCTTTTCTTTAAAAAAGCCAGTCAGCCTGAATAGGATACCATCTGAGCCCAGAGTGCATAACAGCTGGAAGGAAGAGAGCAGGCCTATGTTTGGCCACTATACCCTAAAAATGCTTTTCTATGGTGAGTAGATTCAAATCACCTGGGAGCTTATTAGAAATAGACGTTCTTGAACCATACCCCAGACCTGTCAAATCAGAATCTCTGGGACAAGGATCCAAGAATCTGAGTTTTAATAAGTCCTTCAGGTAATTCCAGTGTACACTAATGAAGCCATACCTTAGAAATGCTTGCATATGTGAGAATAACCAGCTGTAAATGTTTATGAAGTGAAAAGCAGCATTACCAAACCCAGCTATTAGAGGAAAGTGGTTGACTGAGTGAGCTGGCTGAATCAGTATCAGCTCCTGATGGCAGAGTGCCCTTACTCATGAAGGAAAGAAAGATAACGTAGAGTTGAAATGAGACTTGGAAAGCATGATGCACGGAGAAGCTAGGGTCACACTGTTCGAGGACTCTGAAAGGAACATTCTCAGGTGGTTTCCACAATTGAGAGTAGTGGTTAACTTCACTATCACCGCAAAAGAAAATTGCCACCATGGGCCTGAAAGTCAGCCCTTCAGTCTTATTGATAAATAAGTATGGAATAATTATTTCAGATTTTCATCCAAGGTTATAAGTCTTTGTATGTGAATGCATTGAGATGTAAACTTGCATTTAAACATTAACTAAAACCTAGAACTCGATTTTGTTCTGTTTGAAAGGACTTGGGATGTTCAGAGCAATTCTCTTAAGGGTAAGTCCCAGCTGACTTGCATATTTCTCCTTTTCTAGATGGCAGACTGTGGGGGACTGCCCCAGGTAGTTCAGGTAAGGAGGTTTTTTTTTAAAACACCCTTTTAATTCTGCCTCTCTGTCTATGCAAAGATTAATGCCCTCTCGTTTTGTGCCCCCAGCCTGGGAAGCTCACCGAGGCCTTCAAGTACTTTTTGCAGGGAATGGGCTACAGTGAGTAGTACACAACTTTCTATCTAGCAACAATTTATGAATATTGGGGGTCAGCTTCGCATCTGGGAGCCCACAATTCTTGGGATATAACTGTATCAGCTAGCCTTAAGCAAAGTAGAAACCAAAATGTTGATGGAACATTCATTCGTGTGTATTTATAATATGCTAACACTCAGCACTTACTTTTGTCAGGTACTATGTATTCTTAATCTAAGAGGTCATTCTGTTATTAGTGCCATTTTATAGAAGAAGAAACTGAGTCTCAAAAAGGCTAAGCACATTTCCCAGAGTAAAAATTTAGCTGTAGAGCTATGATTCACACTCTGGCAGTTTGACTCCAGAGCCCACATTTTGAACCACTGAAGCTTAGGCTGTCTGTCCTAGGTGTGAATCTGAAATTATGGTTTGCATTTAAACTCAGGTGGTTAATAACTCCAGACCTAGAGATATGAAATGGAGACTCCAGGAGAAAAGGGCAGTATTCTTGGTAGTGTCTTTCTCCCTAGGAGATGAACTTGGAGAGTTGTTTTAGAGCAAGTCCAAGGGTGTGTCCATATCATATGCCATTGTCCTGGTTTCTTGTATTGTATGACCCCCGAGCATTCTCATGGTCACAGAATTCTCTACATGTGCTCCTTTCTTGGAGTTTTAAGAAAAACTCTTTCACCCAGGTACAGAGCTCTTTACCCAGTAGGGTGATTTTTCTCCTGTCTTTGGTATTAGTGTGAATAATGGTCATTAGTGAGCCACCAGGTCAGCTGCTCTGGGCAGCTGGGCCCTGGGTACAGCCCTGTACCTGCCAGGCAGACCGTGTATGTCTTGTCTCAAGTGGCTGTGTCATCCTTGCCTGTGAGCTGCTACCAACCGAGCCCACATCCACAGCCCTATGGCTCACTGGGAGGAGCAGGAGCCCCTCTCCTAGCCCCTTCTTATCCTTTGCCAAAAAACAGCTGATCTTCCAGCCCATTTCTGATCCAAAGCAAGATGACTATTTATATTGGAGAGGAAAACAATTGCTTTTTTCTAATTGAGGAAAGTAACATCTGAGATGCTATTAATTATCTGTCAGCCTCCCCTCCTCTCTGGGAGCTTAAAATAAAATTTTATCCCTGTCTTAGAGTATTCTGTCAGTGTCTATCAGGCAACTGAGGTTGCCACTTGGCACTCTCAGGTCACTAACCTGGCTTTTCCTATGTCCATCCTGCTTCCAGTCCCGTATGTGCAGCTCAGTCACTTGAGCACCGAGTCAGGTACCTTCCTCTGTGCTGGCTCCGCCCTGCCTTCCAGCCTCTCCTGGCTGCACTGGCTGCCTGTAGCATGTCCGCGGTCTTCCTGTGCAGTGAGAGCCCAATAGAACGTGGCTCAGTATGCCCCAAGAGATTTAGCCTACAGGTCCAGCCCTGGTCCCCCAGGAGTAAGAAAGGATCTGGTTGTAAGGGGAAGGCCTCCTCTTGTCATCCTAAATCCAGGGTCACAGCAGCAGCTGAAATTTGATAGACAGGGCCTGTCTTCCACCACCACCTACTGATCCTTGAATTAACCTCCAGACACAGGAATCCAAGGGCAGCTTTGCCTCTAAATAGGAGGGTCAGAGCCTGTGCCCAGAGAACTCTGCAGATAATGGCATCTTTTGACCCCAGCATGTGACAGCTAGGGGAGTGGCTGCTGCCCAGGAGGATAGGCAGGGAGGCTATGCCAGGTAAGGCCCAGTCCCAGCCAAGCTGGAAGGACCTTAGGGTCAAGCAGTGGCAGAACAGGAGTCTGAGTTAAACACCTCATCCCTGTGTAGAGGTCAGCTCCAAGCCAACCTGCCCTCCCCTTGACACACACTGTCCTACACGTCTCCTCCCCGGGTAGCAAGGTAGCCTGTGGACACGGATGGTAGTCTCGTTGTATCGGGCTTGCACTGTGTTTGTGAAACACCTTCATACTTGTGTGTTTGTCTTTCTTTTCTTTTGGTTTAGTCTTGCATGTACTGTAGGTTTTATTTACCTGTTTGGGTTCCCAGAGCTTCCATTCTATCACTGTCTGAATGGTGTGGGCATAGCTAAGAGGCTATACTCTGGACTTAGGGTTTCCCCTTGTTCTGCTGGGGACTACAATCAGCTGAGATTCCAACCAGATCTAAAGGATTAAAGTGCTGTCACGTTTCACCACTCAGAGCAAATAATACAAAATGGGGATGACTATATCTTGTCCTGGGTGTCATCATAAATGATTTGGAAAAGCTAAACATAAAGCCTTTGATGAGACTCCTACGTCAGCTGAGCTTAACCAGGGCTTCATCTTCTAGTCCCCTTTGGTTCTCTGTTACAGTACCATCTGCCAGCATGACCCGGCTTGCCCGATCACGAACCCACTCAACCTCAAGTAGCATTGGCTCTGGAGAAAGTCCCTTCAGCCGGTCTGTCACCAGCAATCAGTCAGATGGAACTCAAGAATCCTGTGAGTCCCCTGATGTCCTGGACAGACACCAGACCATGGAGGTGTCCTGCTAAACAGATGCTCCTCCCCTGGATCATTGCAAGTCCATCCTTCTTCAAATGACCACTCCATAATATAACATTTCATCCAGTAAACTGGCCTCTACTATCTTTAACTCATGCATGGCCACTGAACCTCTCTCTAGTAGCCTGGATTTATCATTCTCTCTGCCTGCCCACCCCTTTTTTTGTATATCCCAAGAACCACTTCCATGCCATACTGTAACATTCCAACATCTTTAGCTGATCAGATCTCTCCATATCCTCTCTTGCCAGCTTTTTTCCGTGCCCCCTCAAACTATGTATCAGATAAGATTCTTTGATCCCAACTCTGTGTGTGTGCGAGCACGCGTGTCTGTGTTTGTGTGTGCATAGTTCTGTGGTTTTAGACATGCTTTCTTGTAGTGCTTCTGCAAAAAACGAAAAAGGGACTTATTTTGCATTCTCAATGGTTTTTTTTAAGGGAATTAGGCAGAACAGATTTCTAGGTTGGGTAGGCCAACTGCATTCTCTTTTGTTTGCAAATTGGTCAACAAAATTTGCAAAGTGATTTCAGAAAAGAGCATCTTGGAGGAATGTGGAAAATCATTATTACTGCCTGGACCATTGATTGATTGTGACCAATAGTAGAAGGCTGCCTGTTACATAGAGAGGCTCCTTCTGTCCAAATGGATTCCTGTATACTATTCTATAAATAAAAGGGAGGAATATATTCTGCTGGAAGCCCATGAACCATCGGTGAGGTTCTGATTCAACATAAGAGTTGTTTCCTAGGAGTGAATGTGGCTTAATTAGTGGACTCAGTTAGCACAGGAAGGTGGAAAACAAAATGCCAGGCCCCTGCTCTGCAAGAACAAAACTGCTATTTCTGCAGTATCTGATACCAGACATCCACATATCCACAAGAAGTGCCTCTTAGGTCTATGATGAGAGCATTTCTCCATTCCTCACTTCCCAGAAAGGGGAGAGGGATGTTTAAAAAGCATGTAGATGGTGGAGAAATGGGTGGGGGGAGAGGAACAGCCATTAACATTGTATCATGTTTAATAAGCTTGATTTCAGCAGCCATATGGAAGCCAAATTAAATTAATACAGAACTCATTTCTCAGAAAGAGTCCTTGGTTTTTTTGTTTGTTTGTTTGAGACAGAGTCTCACTCTGTGGCGCAGGCTAGAGTGCAATGGCACGAGCTTGGCTCACTGCAACCTCTGCCTCTCAGGCTCAAGCAGTTTTTCTCTCAGGTGGCTGAGGGGAGAACTCTTGTCTCAAGTGGCTGTGTTATCCTTGCCTGTGAGCTGGGACTACAGGCACCTGCCATCACACCTGGCTAGTTTTTGTATTTTAGTAGAGATGGGGTTTCGCTATGTTGTCCAGGCTGGTCTCAAACTCCTGACCTCAGGTGATCCGCCCACCTTGGCCTCCCAACTGCTGGGATTGTAGGTGTGAGTCATTGTGCCTGCCATCAGAAACATTCTTAATCTTATGAACTCTCTTTTGTAGGAAGGAAGGGGCCCATCTGTAGAGGCAGCCCTGTCCAGGTAAAGTTGTTTTCAGCCTCCTGTCTACTGTTAGGTGAGGGAGTCACAGCCAGCCAGAGAGTATCACTGGAGGGTGAGAGAAAGAACTGTGGAAACCAGCTGCCACATAGCAAGAGCCCAGCTCTTGGGAGCATTGAGATGTAAGCTCAGGGTTACACAGTTCCAAATCTTGGGAAGGGGCTTTTCAGACACATTGTTTGCTTTCTGCTGAGATAATGAATGCATCACTCTGCCAGAGTATGACTTTTTACAGATTATTAAATAAAGCTGTATATGTCTCATTGTTACCTGATTGCTGGTATTATTTCTCTCAAGCCATTCACTGGGGTTCAGGGTGGGATCGAGTTGCTGTATGCTGGTATTGGCATTTTCACATGTGATTGCTTATCCACCAAGCGACACTGTCCATTTATAGGAGGAAATGAAGCCTGATGATAAATCATTTGCCCAAGGTCCTACAGCCAATAAGTCCAGCCAGGATTAAATCCCAGGGAATTATGCAGAATTCCATCTGATGTGTCTGTATTTCCCTCAAGCCAAAAATCAGGAGAAGCCTGATAGTGTTGTTTGTGATGGAGTAGAAGCAGCTGAGGTCTTGAGAAGGTGGTCCACGTCGCAGCTCCACCACCTGCATGGGATTGCTGGGTCCCACCTGTCATTTAATAATCTGCAACCACTTGTCTGGGTTCCTCTATGAGACCAGCCTATGTTTCTCCAGAAATGGCTATATTTGTACCTGTCAAGAATAATTTCAGGCCAGGTGTAGTAGTTCACGCCTGTAATCCCAGCACTCTGGGAGGCCAAGGCAGGTAGATCACTTGAGATCAGGAGTTCAAGACCAGTATGGCCAACATGGTGAAACCCTGTTTCTACTAAAAATATATAAATTAGCCGGTCATGGTGGTGCATGCCTGTAATCCCAGCTACTTGGGAGGCTGTGAGGCAGGAGAATCACTGGGAGGCGGAGGTGGCAGTGAGCCGAGATTGCGCCACTGCACTCTAGCCTGGGTTACAGAGTAAGAGTCCATTAAAAATCAATAATAATAATAATAATTTCAGGAGACCACCATCTCAGATGAGTTTTCCAGTGACCCAGGGGCAAGTGCCAGCAAAAGCGCATCTGGATTGCTGCATATGCAAGAGGCACTCATAAAATGACATGGACCCTACTCATTCTGGCAGAGGAGTTGAAACAAATGCATTTGAACAGATGCAAATTACCAAGCCGACACCTGATGATGCAGGCCTGTGCTCCACAGAATGCTGACCTGGGAAGGAATTGATCTGGTGGCCTCAGTTGCCCTTTGTTTTTTGTTTGGTTATGTTCTGTTTTGATACAGAGTCTTGCTCTGTCACCCAGGCTGGAGTGCAGTGGCACGATCTCCACTCACTGCAACCTCTGCCTCCTAGGTTCAAGCAGTTCCCCTGTCTCAGCCTCTCAAGTAGCTGGGACTATGGGAATGTGCCTCCAAGCCCAGCTAATTTTTTGTAGAGATGGGGTTTGGCCATGTTGGCCAGGCTGGTCTGGAACTCCTGACTTTAAGTAATCCGCTCACCTCGGCCTCCCAAAGTGCTTAAATTACAGGCATGAACCACCACACTGGACCTTTTTTTTTTTTTTTTTTTTTTTTTGGACCATGTCTCGCTTTGTCAGCCAAGCTGGATGGCAGTGGTGTGATCATTGCTCTCTGCAGCCTCAAACTCCCAGGCTCATGCCATCCTCACACTTCAGCTTCTTGAGTAACAGGGACTACTGGCATGCAACACCATGCCTGGCTCATTTTTTATTTTTTGTAGAGACAGGGTATCACTTCATTGCCCAGGCTGGACTTGAACTCCTGGCCTCAAGTGATCTTCTTGCCTCAGCCTCCTAAAATGCTAGGATTATTGTGGGAATCAGCCTTTTAATGAGCATCTGTATAGGCCAGGCCCTTAACATCTTCCTATAAATTTCCTTCTATTGATTCAGTGAGATACATCCTATTCCCATTTTTTGGATGCAGAAACAGGCCCAGAGATAACTAGTTTGTAAATGGTCACAAAACTAGTAAGTGGCAATACGGGAAACAGTTTCTTCCACTACACTCAACACTTCTGTGACTAAATGGGTGGGCTTTTTTCCCATACCAACCAAGGCTTCAACACCCCAGACAGTAGGTGTCCTAAATTCAATTATGACACCAGCTTCCTAGAGTTAGACCCCACAGGTTAAGGGTTCAGACCCACAAGACTGCCCCCTGCTTCACATACCAGTTGCAAGCAGTGGATCCCCAGGTTACTCACACTTCTGTTCAACCTGGCTACAAATTGGACCTCCTCCCTCAGGCTTGTTAGTTTGCTAAGATTGCTCACAGACTCAGGGAAACACTGAATTTACAGGTTTATGATTCTAAAGGATATGAGGCAGGGTGTGGTGGCTCACACCTGTAATCCTGGCACTTTAGGAGGCCAAGGCAGGAGGATCATTTGAGCCCAGGAGTTTAAGACCAGCCTGGGCAGCATAGTGAGACTCTGTCTGTATTCTAGAAACAGAAAAAATACATATTATAAAAAGGCAAGATTAGAGGAAAAAAAAAAAAAGCGAACAAAGCCTCCAAGAAATATGGGATTATGTGAAAAGACCTATGTTTGATAGGCGTACCTGAATGTGATGAAGAGAATGAATCCAAGCTGGAAAATACTCTTCAGGATATTATCCAGGAAAACTTCCCCAACCTAGCAAGGCAGGCCAATATTCAAGTCCAGGAAATACAGAGAACACCACAAATGTTCCTCAAAAGAGCAACCCCAAGGCACATAATCGTCAGATTCACCAGGGTTGAAATGAAGGAAAAAATGCTAAGGGCAGCCAGAGAGAAATGTCAGGTTACCCGCAAAGGGAAGCCCATCAGACTCACAGCGGATCTAAGCAGAAACCCTACAAGCCAGAAGAGAGTGGGGACCAATATTCAACATCCTTAAAGAAAAGAACTTTCAGCTTAGAATTTCATATCCAGCCAAACTAAGTTTCATAAGCGAAACAGAAATAAAACCCTTTACGAACAAGCAATTGCTCAGAGATTTCATCACCACCAGGCCTGCTTTACAAGAGCTCCTGAAAGAAGCACTAAACATAGGAACAACCAGTACCAGCCACTACAAAAACATACCAAATGAGCATCGATACAATGAAGAAACTGCATCAACTAACGGGCAAAACAACCGGCTAGCATCAAAATGGCAGGATCAGATTCACACATAACAATATTAACCTTAAATGTAAATGGGCTAAATGCCCCAATCAAAAGGCACAGACCAGCAAATTGGATAAAAAGTCAAAACCCATCTCACATGCAAGGATACACATAGGCTCAAAATAAAGGGAAGGAGGAAGATTTACCAAGCAAATGGAGAGCAAAAAAAAAAAGCAGGAGTTGCAATCCTAGTCTCTGATAAAATAGACTTTAAACCAACAAAGATCAAAAGAGACAAAGAAGGACATTACATAATGGTAAAAGGATCAATGCAACAAGAAACAATTCTAAATATATACGCAACCAATACAGGAGTACTCAGATACATAAAGCAAGTTCTTATGACTTACAAAGAGACTTAGACTCCCACACAATAATAGTGGGAGACCTTAACACTCCACTGTCAATATTAGACAGATCAACGGGACAGAAAATTAACAAGGATATCCAGGACTTGAACTCAGACCTGGACCAAGCAAACCTAATAGACATTTGCAGAACTCTCCACTCCAAATCCATAGAATATACATTCTTCTCAGCACCACACCACACCTACTCTAAAATTGACCACATAATTGGAAGTAAATCACTCCTCAGCAAATGCAAAAGAACAGAAATCATAACAGACAGTCTCTCAGACCACAGTACAATCAAGTTAGAACTCAGAACTCAGAAACTAACTCAGAACCACACAACTTCATGGAAACTGTACAACTGGCTGTTGAATGTTGACTGGATAAACAATGAAATGAAGGCAGAAATACCGATGTTCTTCGAAACCAGCAAGAACAAAGACACAGCATACCAGAATCTCTGGGACACATTTAAAGCAGTGTGTAGAGGAAAATATATAGCAATAAATGCCCATATGAGGAGCAAGGAAGGATCTAAAATTGGCACCCTGTCGTCAAAATTGAAAGAGCTAGAGGAGCAAGATAAAAAAACTCAAAACCTAGAAGAAGACAAGAAATAACTAAGATCAGAGCAGAACTGAAGGAGATACACAAAAAACCCTTCAAAAAATCAATAAATCCAGGAGGTGGTTTTTTTGAAAAGGTCAACAAAACAGATTGCTAGCCAGGTTAATAAGAAAGAAAAGAGAATAATCAAATAGGTACAATAAACCACCATCAGAGATTACTACAAACAACTCTATGCACATAAACCAATAAACCTGGAAGAAGTGGATAAAATTCCTGGAAACTTGCATCCTCCCAAGCCTAAACCAGGAAGAAGTCGAAACTCTGAATAGACCAATAACAAGAGTTGAAGTTGAAGCAGCAATAGCCTACCAATCAAAAAACCCCAGGTCCAGTTGGGTTCACAGCCAAATTCTACCAGACATACAAAGAGGAGCTGGTACCACTCCTTCTGAAGCTATTCCAAACAATCCAAAAAGAGGGAATCCTTCCCAAATCATTTTACGAGACCAACATCATCCTGATACCAAAACCTGGCAGAGACTCGAAAAGAAAACTTCAGACCAATATCCGTGAGGAACATAGATGCAGAAATCTTCAATAAAATACTGGCAAACCGATTGCAACAGCACATCAAAAAGCTTATCCATCACGATCAAGGAGGCTTCATCCCAGGGATGCAAGGCTGGTTCAACATACGCAAGTCTATAAACGTAATTCACCACATAAACAGAACCAAAGACAAAAACCACAATTATCTCAATAGATGCAGAGAAGACCTTTGACAAAATTCAACAGCCCTTTGTGCTAAAAACTCAAAAAACTAGGTATTGACGGAACGTATCTCAAAATAATGAAAGCTATTTATGACAAACCCACAGCTAATATCATCCTGAATGGGCAAAAACTGGAAGCATTCCCTTTGAAACCTGGCACTAGACAAGGATGCCCTCTCTTATCACTCCTATTCAATATAGTATTGGAAGTTCTAGCCAGAGCAATCAGGCAAGAAAAAGAAATAAAGCTTATTCAATTAGGAAAGAAGGAAGTCAAATTGTCTCTATTTGCAGACGACATGATTGTATATTTAGAAGACCCCATCATCTCAGCCCAAAATCTCCTGAAACTGATAAGCAACTTCAGCAAAGTCTCAGGATACAAAATCAATGTGCAAAAATCACAAGCATTCCTATACATCAATAACAGACTTAAAGAGAGCCAAATCAAGAACAAACTGCCATTCACAATTGCTACCAAGAGAATAAAATACCTAGGAATACAACTAACAAAGGATGTAAAGGACCTCTTCAAGAACTACAAACCACTGCTCAAGGAAATAAGAGAGGACACAAACAGATGGAGAAACATTCCATGCTCATGACTAGGAAGAATCAATATCGTGAAAGTGGTCATACTGCCCAAAGTAATTTATGGATTCAACACTATCCCCATCAAGCTACCAATGACGTTCTTCACAGAACTGGAAAAAACCGCCTTAAACTTCATATGGAACCAAAAGAGAGCCTGCATAGCCAAGTCAATTATAAGCAAAAAGAACAAACTAGAGGCATCATGCTACCTGACTTCGAACTATACTACAAGGCTACAATAATCAAAACAGTATGATACTGGTACCAAAACAGAGATATAGACCAATGGAACAGAACAGAGGCCTTGGAGGCAACGCCACACATCTACAACCATCTGATCTTTGACAAATCTCACAAAAACAAACAATGGGGAAAGGATTCCCTGTTTAATAAACGGTGTTGGGAAAACTGGCTACCTAGCCGTGTGCAGAAAGCAGAAACTGGACCCCTTCCTGACACCTTACACTAAAATTAACTCCAGATGGATTAAAGACTTAAACATAAGACCTAAGACCATAAAAACCCTAGAAGAAAACCATTCAGGACGTAGGCATAGGCAAGGACTTCATGACTAAAACACCAAAAGCATTGGCAACAAAAGCCAGAATAGACAAATGGGACCTAATTAAACCCCAGAGCTTCTGTACAGCAAAAGAAACTCATTAGAGTGAATTGGCAACCAACAGAATGGGAAAAAATTTTTGCAATCTACACATCTGACAAAGGGCTAATATCCAGAATCTACAAAGAACTAAAACAGATTTACAGGAAAAAAAACCCATTCAAAAGTGGGTGAAGGATATAAACAGACACTTTTCAAAAGAAGACATATATGAGGCCAACAAACATAAGAAAAAATGCTCATCATCACTGGTCATTAGAGAAATGCAAATCAAAACCACATTGAGATATCATCTCACGCCAGTTAGAATGGCGATCATTAAAAAATCTGGAGACAACAGATGCTGGAGAGGATGTGGAGAAATATGAACACTTGTACACTGTTGGTGGGAGTGTAATTAGTTCAACCATTGTGGAAGACAGTGTGGCGATTCCTGAAGGACCTAGAAATAGAAGTTCCATTTGACCCAGCAGTCCCATTACTGGGTATATATCCAAAGGATTATAAATCGTTCTCTTATAAGGACACATGCACATGAATGTTCATTGCAGCACTGTTTACAATAGCAAAGACTTGGAACCAACCCAAATGCTCATCGATGATAGACTGGACAGGAAAAATGTGGCACATACACACCATGGAATACTATGCAGCCATAAAAAACGATGAGTTCGTGTCCTTTGTAGGGACATGGATGAACCTGGAAACCGTCATTCTCAACAAACTGACACAAGACCAGAAAATCAAACACTGCATGTTCTCACTCATAGGTGGATGTTGAACAATGAGAACACATGGACACAGGGAGGGGAGCATCACACACCGCGGTCTGTTGGGGGAAACTAGGGGAGGGACAGCAGGGGGTGGGGAGTTGGGGAGGGATAACATGGGGAGAAATGCCAGATACAGGTGATGGGGAGGAAGGCAGCAAACCACATTGCCATGTATGTACCTATGCAACAATCCTGCATGTTCTTCACATGTACCCCAAAACCTAAAACAATAAAATATAAAAATTAAAAATAAAAAGGATACAGGTAAATGGCCAGATAAAGAAGTATGTAGGAGGCTGGATGCTGTGGCTCATGCCTGTAATCCCAGCACTTTGGGAAGCCAAGGCAGGCGGATCACCTGAGGTCAGGAGTTCGAGACCAGCCTGGCCAACATGATGAAACCCCATCTCTACTAAAAATACAAAAATTAGCTGGGCGGTGGCACATGCCTATAATCCCAGCTACTCGGGAGGCTCACTTGCATCTGGGAGGCAGAGAATGCAGTGAGCCTAGACTGTACCACTGCACTTTAGCATGGGCAACAGAGCAAGACTCTGTCTCCCCCTCACCCCAAAACAAAGGTACATAGGGCAAGGTCTGGAGGGGTCTCAGGCAGTTGGGGTCTGCCACCCTTCTGGTGTGTTGGATGTTTTCACCAACCTGGAAGCTCTCTGAACCTCGTACTTTAGGGATTTTTATAGAAGCTTCATCACGTAAGCATTATCAATTATTAACTCAGTCTCCAGCTCCTCTGCCCACTCCAGAAGATGAGGGTGGGACTGAAAGCTCCAAGCTCATAATGATGGCTTTGTCTTTCTAGTGACCAGTCCCCATCCAGGAGCCCACCAAGTGTTGCCTCATTAGAATAGAAAACACTTCTGTCACCTAGGAAATTAGAAGGGTTTTAGGAGCTCTGGCCAGGAGCCAGGGAGAAACACCAGTGCATATTTCTTAGTGGAAGACCTAGGATTTTAAATTTTGTAATTCTTAGATGCCTCCCTAAGTGGAAAAGGAGAGTTATATGGCAGGATTCTTTTAAGAAGAGACCAGAGATTCCCTACTTCCTGCCCCATTCATGAACTGCACCTTGAGGCTTGTTTTGAAAGTTTGCCTGTTGACCAGGTACAGTGGCTCACGCCTGTAATCCCAGCACTTTGGGAGGCTGAGGCGGGCAGATCATGAGGTCAGGAGATCAAGACCATCCTGGCTAACATGGTGAAACCCCATCTCTACTAAAAATATTTAAAAAAAAAATTATCCAGGCACGTTGGCGGGCACCTGTAGTCCCAGCTAATCAGGAGGCTAAGGCAGGAGAATTGCTTGAACCCAGGAGGCAGAGGTTGCACTGAGCTGAGATTATACCACTGCACTCCAGCCTGGGTGACAGCAAGAGTCCATCTCAAAAAAAAAAAAAAGTTTGCCTGTCATAAGACGACGGGCATTAGAGTTGTATGGCAGCAGGAGTGGGAAGGTGGACTTGAGCTCAAGTCCCTCCCTGCTAAGGGCCACATCCCTGAGTGGTTGTCACCCATTCTAACATTATTGGGCTGTCACCCATTAGAACTTTATTGCAGCGGTGTGCCTCCACTCTGGCTCCTTCAGCTTTCTATGCCAAGTGCCTACAAAGATAAAAATCAAACCAGCCTTCTCCAGGTTCCCCAGAATCAAGGGAGAACCTGAGCAGGAGTGCTCTAGCTGGCAAGGCCCCAGAAAGGGCTGCATGGGCTGAGCTGGAGTCAGGAGTCATTTCAATGTAGTGGGCCCTTTGTCTCCAGGAATACTAATCCCCCTAATGGGGAAGCAGCGAGAAGGCGTGGTTAAATAGTAATGAAGGGTGGACTGAATGTAACACATTAATCAAAGACAATTCAGTCAAAATTAGATTCTTTATCCTAGACCAGTGATTCTTAAGCTTGGGCATGAAATGTGGCTCATGCTGCTCTGATAATCCCAACACTTTGGGAGGTGGAGGCAGGAGGGCCAGTTGAGGCCAGGAGCTTGAGACCAGCCTGGGCAACACAGCGAAACCTCATCTCTACAAAAAATTTTAAAATTAGCCAGGAGTGCTGGTGCACACCTGTAGTCCTAGCTAATCAAGGCTGAGAAGGGAGGATTACCTGACCCTAGGTCAAGGCTGCAGTGAGCTATGATTGTGCCATTGCACTCCATCCTGGGCGACAAAGCGAGACGTGTCAAAAAAAAAAATCAAGCTTGGGCATTCATCAGAATCAGCTGGCAGTATGAAAACAGATCACCAGGCCTACCCCCAGAGTTTGAGTCCATAGATCTGAAATGTGGCCTGAGAATTTGCATGTCTAACAAATTTCCATGGAGGCTGCTGGTCTAAGGACCACACTTTGAGACCACTGTTCAGATATTGCTATTCAAAGTGTGGTCCCCAGACTGGCAACATGGGTGTCACCTGGGAGCTTATTAGAAATGCAAAATATTGAACTCCACCCCAAACCTACTGAATCAGAACCTGCAGTTTAACAAGATCTCCAGGTGATTCCTATACACATTAAAGGTTGAGAAGGCAGTGCTTTCCAAACTTGCCCATCAAGAGAATCTCTTGGAGGGTTTAAAATTTAGAATCCTCGGCTCCCTATCTGATGACTTGGATTTAGAAGGTGTGGGACTTCCCAGAAATTGCTACAATTAAGCCCCTCTGGATGACTGTTATGGTCAGGCCAGCATGGGAACTCCTGTTCATTTTCCTCAGTCCTGTGTTCCTTGGACAAGACCAAGCCACAAAGCCAGAGAAAAACCTTTAGCTCCACAATCGTGACAAGACAGCAGCTGCTCGCTCCCCTAGAAACAGGAACTTGGGGAAGGTGGCTTCTCGATGGTCTGTGATGCCGTCAGAGGAAACCGGTGGTTGTGAGAACCACAGAGTCTGCAGACGGAGCTGGAGCTCCAAGGACCCTGCGCCTATGTCTCTATGGTAGAGCTCAAAGAGTCCTGGGCCTTCCTTCCTGGCTCGGCTGTGCTTGGGAGGGTTCCCCAGTCTAGAATCCATAAGGAGCATGGGGCAGCTGATGCATTCCTGGTGTACAAACTGCTGACCGCAGACGGATGCTGAGCTACCCAAACCAACACCTAGCCTCTCCCTGAAGATCCTCCCAGGCTGGGAGAACACTGGCAGACTTCCAGAGGGTCCCTGAAAGCCCTAACCTGTTCAGCCAGAGCATGCATCTCAGCGGAGCCCTCTTCCCAAGCCTTTGAGGACAAACCAGTAAGTACACTTGGTTTTGTTTTCAGGTGGCCTGGTGACAGGTGAGGAAGAATGGTCTCCCCGGCCCAGAATGGGACCGGGGCTTTACTTGCTGGTGGGAAAAAAACGAGCTCAAGGAGAAGGGGAAGTGGCTCTACTGAGGCTGTAAAGAGGGGTGGTTTCTGGGGGTCCCAGAAGAACCAAGACCTATCTGCTCCACCTTTGACTGCCTCTTGGAGCTTACATCCTTCCCTGCAGCTTGTCTTCATACCCGTCCTAGTCTCATCTCGGTTGTGTACTTGCTGTGTGACTTTGGGCCCCTCTCTGCACTGCAGTCAGACTCCGAAGTCAGGAACGCGAGGGCTATCATCTCTCAAGACATTTCAGCTGTAGAGCCTACAGTGAAATCTCACTCTCAAAAGGGTGATATTTTTCAGGTGAGAGAGAGGGAGAAGTCTCCCTTTAACTCAATCCAAATTCATTATTATTATTATTTGAGTTGGGGTCTTGGTCTGTCACCCAGGCTGGAGTACAGTGGCGGGATTATGACTAACTGTAGGCTTGAACCCCTGGGCTCAAACGATTCTCCCGCCTCAGCCTCCCAAGTAGCTGGGACTTCAGACATGTACCACCATGCCCAGCTAATTTGTTATATTTTTATAGAGATAAAGCAGTGGGTGGGGGGGGCGGTCCTCACTATGTTGCCCAGACTGGTCTCCAACTCCTGGCCTCAAGCAATCCTCCTGAACTAGAAAGCCTCCTGAATTGCTGCGATTAAAGGCATGAGCCACCACGCCTGGCCAAATTCATCACTCTTACCCCCACCGCTGAAAAATGATCTTAAGAAGCACAAAATACACATCACGGCAGGCCCAGCCCTGCACGAATGGGCTACATGACCAGAAGCACAGGTCCTCTCAGGGACTTGTTGGTCACTGTATCTGAAATGGGACTCAAGTGAGACATTAAAATATATATAAATATTTATGTTCTGGGCAGTGTGCTGATCTCGGTGCTTTTGACTAACTTTTTCCTTTCACCCAGTGTCTCATGTCCTCTGGAAAGTGCCTGGCACATAGTAAGTTGCTCAAAAATTTGTGTCATTAATGATCAGATGCTGTCTTATAAAAGTTGTGACTAATACTGCCTTCTCCTAGGCCTGCCCACCGCATAGTCTTTATTTTGCCCCCAGGGGCATCTTTGCCTTACTTTGCCTGAGTCCTTGCTTTCAGCCTGAGTATAGCTCCCCTGTCTGCGTCTGCTTTTGGGCCCAGCCCCCAGCTCCACCTGCGGCAGGAAGGAGCCTCTGGGTCTATTGCAGGTGGTGATGTGGTCTTCCTGAAGGAGGGGAAAGGAAACTAAGCCTTACTGAGCACCCATTCCATGCCAGACTCCTGCAACACAGTGCTGTGGTGCTTATAGAGCACCATCATTCATAGATGAGATGCAGGAAGCTTGCATGCTTTGCCTGAGGCCACGCAGCTCCAGCCAGGTTCAAGGGAGGACTCATGCTACCCAAGGCAGAGGTTCTCTCCCTGGAGTTTCCTGGGCTTAGGATTGTAAAAAACCTCCTCAGGAGGATTGCTTGAGCCTGGGAATTTGAGACCAGCCTGAGCAACACAGCAAGACCCCTATAATTTAAAACAAAACCAAAAAGCCTCCTCAAGAACAGCAGCGCCATCTCAGTGTACCCAGGCTGCAGGATCCTTAAGGTCTGAGCAGGAAGTGGCTGTCAGGAGCCATTTCCATGTGATATGCCCATTCTGCATTCAAGAGCTTCTTTCCAGATGAATGCTGAGCTTCCAATAGGGAGGCAGCAGCAAGCAGGTTTTTTTTTTTTTTTTTTTGAGACAGAATCTCACTCTGTTGCCCAGGCTGGAGTGCAATAGCACAATCTCGGCTCACTGCAGTCTCTACCACTCAGGTTCAAGCAATTATTTTGCCTCAGCCTCCCAAGTAGCTGGGATTACAGGCACCCGCCACCATGCCTGGCTTATTTTTATATTCACCATGTTGGCCAGACTGGTCTTAAATACCTGACCTCATGTGATCTGCCCACCTCAGCCTCCCAAAGTGTTGGGATTACAGGTGTGAGCCATCACTCCTGGCTTATTTTTGTATTTTTAGTAGAGACAGGGTTTTACCATGTTGGCCAGGCGGGTCTCAAACTCCTGACCCCCATGTGATCTGCCTGCCTCAGCCTCCCAAACTGCTAGGATTACAGGCGTGAGCCACCACACCTGGCCCAGGTATTGTTATTCCCATGTCAATTAAAGGCTGAAGAATAGAGAGGGCTCTTCCAGCCTCTAAGGTAGGATCTTTACTCCCCAAACAGGACTGGCCCAGGAGGCCACAGAAATCACTCCATGATATTGATGGATTACCATCCTCATCCAGGCAGTGTGGGATTCAAAGGCAAGGAAGGAGCCCACTCTGTCACAACCCCATTCAGTGAGCTCCTCCAGGGTAAGAAGCATGGATTCCTCCTCCAGGGACTGCCAGCCCTTGGCAGGTGCCTGACACAAAGCAGGAGCTCCATGAATACCAGCTGCATTGGGCCAAATGTGTAATTGTGCCTTGTCCCTACTGAAAACAATGAAACCATCTGAAAAGAAATACAAAGCTCTGCCTCCCACTCCTCAAACAAAATATAGTGTTTGGGAAAATCAGCACTACCCTGGGAATCTGGGAATTTAAACTATTCTAAGGATAAGACACCTGTCTGAAGAACTGACAGTCTCATTTTGTTAATGTGTACCAAGTGCCTTCTGTCATGCCTCACTAAATGCTGAGTAATAGGCAAACAAAAGAAGTCCTTGTCCTTTTGCAGTTACAGGATAGTGACAGATTAAACAAGTAAACTCTCAAATGAATGATGAAAACTTTCGAAGAGAGGCTGGGTGCCATGGCTCACACCTGTAATCCCAGGACTTTGGGAAGCTGAGGTGGGAGGAGTTCAAGACCAGCCTGGGCAACACGGCAAGAGCCCATACTTAAAACTTGCAAAGAAGCTGGTTGTGGTAGCAGCTAATGCCTGTAATCCTAGCTGAGGTGGGAGGATCCCCTGAACCCAGGAGTTCAAGGGTGCAATGAGCTAGGACCGTGCCACTACACTGTAGCCTGGGTGACAGAGCAAGACCTCCTGGGGAGGCTCCCAGGAGAGGCCTCTGACGAAGTGACATTCAGGACGTGGTAAAGGAAACATGGGGCTGGCTAGGGTTTTCATATGCATTATCTCTTGGACCTATATGTTGGATGTCGTTATCCCCATTTTTCAGATGAGGAAAAGGGGGCACAGAGAGGGGAAGTGGCTCAACAGTCAGTTCCCCAGAGCCCTGCAAGTCATCACTGCATTTTTGAGACAGCATCTCACTCTGTTGCCCAGGCTGGAGTGCAGTGGGATGATCTTGGCTCACTGTGAACTCCATCTCCCAGGCTCAAGCAATCCTCCTGCCCTCCCACCTCAGCCTCCTGAATAGCTGGAACTACAGGTGTGTGCCACCACACCCAGCTAATTTTTGTGGGTTTTTTGGTAGAGATGGGATTTCACTATATAGGCCAAGCTGGTCTTGAACTCCTGAGCTCAAGCAGTCAGCCCCCCTCGGCCTCTTAAAGTGATCAGCCTCTTACTAAGTGCTCACTCCTGTAATCCCAGCAACTCAGGAGGCTGAGACAGATACTCTTACTTGGCCTTGTGACACTAATAACAGTGTATCCGTGTCACCTTTGCTTGCTGTGACACCAGCTCTCAAGCCTGCTCAGATCCTCCTTGCAGACCTCTTTTTTTTTTTTTTTTTTTTTTTTTTTTTTGAGAGGGAGTCTCTCTCTGTTGCCCATGCTGGAGTGCAGTGGCCCAATCTCAGCTCACTGCAACTTCAGCCTCCCAGGTTCAAGCAATTCTCCTGTCTCAGCCTCCCTCCTGAGTAGATGGGACCACAGGTGCATGCCACCAGGCCCAGCTAATTTTTGAGTTTTTAGTAGAGATGAGGTTTCACCATATTGGTCAGGCTGGTCTTGAACTCCTGATCTCAGTTGATCCACCCTCCTTGGTCTCCCAAAGTACTAGGATTATAGGCATCAGCCACTGTGCCCTGCCCCTCTTGCGGACCTCTGACCCAAGCCACAGGTCCTGGTATGCCCGGAGGGAGCTGACTGTCCTGTCATTGTTCCCTGCCACCCAGTAGCAGAGTATGATCCCGGGTCAGAGAAAAGGTTCTAAGTGAGCCATAGGAATTCAAAGGAGTGATCAACAAAGGCTGGGGGGCTGGGAAGGCTTCCTGGGGAAGGAAGAAGGGGATCCAAACAGGACTGAAGGAGAGGAGAGGGCATGACTGACCATGGGAGGGACACAAGTAGAGGCCCAGAAAGAAAGCGTTGCGCCCGTTGTGGCATAAAAAGATGAGATGTGCAGAAAAGGAAGCCTTCAGGGTCTGGCAGAGAGGCTGGAGCCTGGTCCCACAGGAGGGAGGTCATTCACATGCTCTGTGAGGAGATAGCCAGGGCCGATCTGGGGAGGGAGGGATATCTGATATCAGGGAAGGAGCCTCGGCTCTGTCCACAACACGGTGTCTCTTTCAGATTTCCCTCGATGATGTGCTTCTATGTGCTCTGCTGAGGAACAATGGGAAGTCTGCCCAGCAGAAGAAAATCCCTGCCAAGTCCAAGCTTGAGCCCCTCTGTCCAAGGCCAGGGACCTGTGTCCATGGAAGCAGGTAGGCCTTGGGGTCTGCTACAGCCAGGCCCTTCCCACACAGTCCTAGATGTCACTGCCTCTGTGGGCCTTCCTGGCCAGCAGCTCCAACACAGCGTAAGCACCACTGAGTGCCTGCTACACACCAGGCCCTGCCTACTGAGCCATGCAGCAGGGTCCCTGCTCCTGTGAAGCCTACCTTAGCAGTAAGAATAGTCAACAACCAGATAAATAAGAAAATAGGAGAAAGTGATAAGCACAAAGCAGAATATTAAACCTGGAGGGCATGATAATCTCCCAGGCATTCTCCAAGGCTTCCCTCCTCCTCAACCAGTTGTTTATCCAAACATGAAGCTGGCCAGCCCCACCTCTGCAGCTCCCTAGAGCTGAACTGTCCACTGCAGTAGCAACCAGCCACACGCAACTGCTTAAACTTAAAATTTTAGGCCGGGGTCGGGCATGGTGGCTCATGCCTGTAATCCCAGCACTTTGGGAGGACAAGGCAGGCAGATCACCTGAGGTCAGGAATTCAAGACCAGCCTGGCCAACATGGTGAAACCCTGTCTCTACTAAAAATACAAAAATTAGCCAGTCCTGGTGGCACATGCCTGTAATCCCAGCAACTCAGGAGGCAGGGAAAAAGAGTCACTTGAACCTGAGAGGTGGAAGTTGCAGTGAGCCGAGATTGCCTCACTGCACTCCAGCCTGGGCGACAGAGTGAGAATCCATCTCAAAAAAAATAAAAATAAATAAAACGTCTTTCATCACCCTAGTCATATTTTAAGTGCTCATAGCACATGTAGCAAGTGACCACCTTGTTAGACAGTACAGAATTGCAGAACATTTGCATTGTTGCAGAAGGTTTTGCTATACTGTTCTAATGGACCTAAGAGGTACTGTGTAATTACCTGAAGTGAAATTAGCACTCTCTCTTTTATTTTTATGATGGTGGGTGTTGTTTTTGGGGTTTTTTGGGGGGTTTTATTGTTGTTTTATTTTTTGAGACAGAATCTCGCTGTGTCGCCAGGCTGGAGTACAGTGGCGCAATCGCAGCTCACTGCAGTCTCCACCTCCCAGGTTCAAGCAACTATCCTGCCTCAGCCTCCCGAGTAACTGGGATTACAGGCACACACCACTACCCCCAGCTAGTTTTTATATTTTTAGTAGAGACGGGGTTTCACCATGTTGGCCAGGATGGTCTCCATCTCTTGACCTCATGATCTGCCTGCCTTGGCCTCCCAAAGTGCTGGGATTACAGGCGTGAGCCACCGCACGTGGCCTCCTGGATAATTTTTTAAATTATTTGTAGAGATGGGGTCTCCCTATGTTGCCAGACTGGTCTTGAACTCTTCGGCTCAAGTGATCCTCCCGCCTCGGCCTCTTGAAGTGCTGAGATTTCAGGCATGAGCCACTGCACCTGGCCAGGGCCGTGTTTTGTTTTGTTTTGTTTTGTTTTTTTGAGACAGAGTCTCACCCTTGTTTCCCAGGCTGGAGTGCAATGGCACGATCTCGGCTCACTGCAACCTCTGCCTCCCGGGCTGGACCAATTCTCCTGCCTCAGCCTCCCAAGTAGCTGGGATTACAAGCACATGCTACCATGCCCAGCTAACTTTTGTATTTTTAGTAGAGATGGGGTTTCACCATGTTGGCCAGGCTGGTTTTGAACTCCTGACTTCAGGTGATCCGCCTGCCTCAGCCTCCCAAAGTGCTGAGATTACAGGCGTGACCCACTGTACCTGGCCCTTGCCAGGGCTGTCTTAGTGAGGGAAAATAGCATATACAGTGCATATGCTGAGTCTATAACTGTGATTTTCTAAGAGTCTTGACTAAAACTCCCAATTTTTAGGACAGTTGAATAATCAAAATATCCTAGCAATTCTAGTATTTTGATGTTGGAACTATGGCCCCAGGTCTGTTTCTTGTTCTCCGTAACAGGCAATAAATCCTTTCTCAAGTCACATCTGTATTGGGATTTCAGTAATGTATTAGGGTTCTCCAAGAAACAGAACCAATAGGTCGTGGTGGTAGTGGGTGGGTGGGTGGGTGGGTGTGTGTGTGTGTGTGTGTGTGTGTGTGTGTGTGTGTAGACATTTATTTTTGAGGAGCTGGCTCACATGATTGTGGAGGCTGTAAGTCTGAAATCTGCAGGGCAGGCTGGAGACCCAGGGAAGAGCTGATGCTAAGTACTGAGTCCAACCGCAGTCTGGAGGCAGAATTCCTTCTTCCTCAAAGGATGTCAGTCTTGTTATTTTAAGGCCTTCAACTGATTGCATGGGGCCCACGCACATTATGGGAGTGTCATCTACTTTACTCAGACTACTGATTTAAATTCAATCTCATCTTAAAAAATATCTTCATAGCGATATCTAGACTGGTATTTGACCAAATATCTGGGTTGTGTGGGTTAGCCACAATGACACATAAAATCAACCAGCACAGATAACAGGATCATACTACTTCACAGTGTATTTTCTCGCTCTCCTGGACAAAGCCTAGGGACATGTACTTTATATGGCTCTTGTACAAGCTTTGCTACTGGGACTTTGGTTAAATCACCTAAATTGGCTGAGTGTAGCTGCTCAGGCCTGTAATCCCATCACTTTGGGAGGCTGAGGCAGGTAAGTCACCTGAGGTCAGGAGTTTGAGACCAGCCTGACCAATATGGTGAAACTCCATCTCTACTAAAAATATAAAAATTAGCCAGGCATGGCAGCATCACCTGTGATCCCAGCTACTCAGGAGGCTGAGGCAGGAGAATCACTTGAACCCTGGAGATGGAGGTCTCAGTGAGCCGAGATCACACTATTGCACTCCAGCCTGGGCAACAAAAGCAAGACTCTGCAAAAAAAAAAAAAAAAAAAGCTGGGCACAGTGGCTCATGCCTGTAATCCCGGCACTTTGGGAGACTGAGGCGGGTGGATCATGAGGTCAGGGGTTTGACACCAGCCTGGACAATATGGTGAAATTCCGTCTCTACTAGAAATACAAAAATTAGCCAGGCGTGGTGGTGCACCCCTGTAGTCCAAGCTACTTGGGAGGCTGAGGCAGGAGAATCGCTTGAACCCAGGAGGTGGTGGTTGCTGGGAGCCCACATTGTGCCACTGCACTCCAGTCTGGGCCACAGAGTGAGACTCCATCTCAAAAAAAAAAAAAAAAAAAAACAACTTAGGTGTGGTGGCACCCACCTGTATTCCCAGCTACTTGGGAGGCTTAGACAGGAGAATCACTCAAACCCAGGAGATAGAATCTGCAGTCAACCAAAATTGCACCACTGCATTCCAGCCTGGGTGACAGAGCGAAACCTTGTCTTTTTTTTTTTTTTTTTTTTTTTTTTTTTTTTTTTTTTAAAGACAGAGTTTCACATTATCACCCATACTGGAGTGCAATGGCACCATGTTGGCTCACTGCAACCTCTGCTTCCCGGGTTCAAGCAATTCTTCTGCTTCAGCCTCCCAAGTAGCTGGGATTACAGGAACCCACTACCGCACCTGGCTAATCTTTTTGTATTTTCAGTAGAGACAGGGTTTCACCATGTTGGCCAGGCTGGTCTCAAGCTCCAAACCTCAGGTGATCTGCCCACCTCAGCCTCCCAAAGTGCTGGGATTACAGGCATGAACCAGTACACCTGGCCTGCGACACCCTGTCTTAAAAACAAAACAAGAAAAATCCCCTATATTGTAGGGACTTCTCTCCTTCTCCTCAGCCCAAGCCCCCAGTATCCTCATTTCCCTAATTCCATCCTTGCCCAGGCTCACACGCCGTGACCCCCTGAGCCCTGTAGGACTCCTGGTGGAGAGGCAGCTGCTCCTTTTAGCCACCCCTTCTGCACTGAGAGGCCGTGCAGTAAGGAGACCGGGAAACCACGCAGACTCCACCTTGGTGGAGGGCTCATGGATGGGGTTGCCCAAAACACACTCCTCCCTGGACTGAGGATAGAGCGTGATAGAGGGAAGGGCATAGCTCCCCTAGGCCCTACAGGCAGGGAAGGCTCTGCCCATGGACAGGGTTGGTCACCACCCTGAGCAGCCCCAGGCATGACTCAGAGTGGCCTCAGGACCTCTGCCTATGGTTAGATCCAGAGGAATCCAAGGTGAGGAAAAAACAGTGCAAAAAGGCTGAAATAACCAGCTAGCATCATAATGACAGGATCAGATTCACACATAGTAATATTAACCTTAAATGTAAGTGGGCTAAATGGCCCAATTAAAAGACACAGACTCGAAAATTGGATAAAAAGACCCATTGGTGTGTTATATCCATCTCACATGCAAAGACACACATAGTTTCAAAATAAAGGGATGAGGTATATTTACCAAGAAAATGAAATGCAAAAAAAAAGCAGGGGTTGCAGTCCTAGTCTCTGATAAAACAGACTTTAAACCAACAAAGATCAAAAAAGACAAAGAAGGGCATTATGTAATGGTAAAGGGATCAATGCAATAAGAAGAGTTAACTATCCTAAATATATATGCACTCAATACAGGAGCACCCAGATTCATAAAGCAAGTTCTTAGAGATCTACAAAGAAACTTAGACTCCTATACAATAATATGGGAGACTTTAATACCCCACTGTCAATATTAGACAGCTCAACAAGACAGAAAATTAACAAGGATATTCAGGACTTGAACTCAGCTCTGGAACAAGCAGACCTAATAGACATCTATAGAACTCTCCACCCCCTGGCCGGCCTCGGTGGCTCACACCTGTAATCGCAGCACTTTGGGAGGCCAAGGAACGCAGATCACAAGGTCAGGAAGTTGAGACCATCCAGGCTGACATGGTGAAAGCCCGTCTCTACTTAAAAAAACACAAAAAAAATTAGCCAGGTGTGGTGGCATGTGCCTGTAGTCCCAGCTGCTCAGAAGGCTGAGGCAGGAGAATCACTTGAACCCAGGAGGTGGAGGTTGCAGTGAGCCAAGATCATGCCACTGCACTCCAGCCTGGGCGACAGAGCAAGACCGTCTCAAAAAAAGCAAACGAACAAATGAACAAAAACAGCTCCCTGTAATCCCAGCACTTTGGGAGACTGAGGCAGGCAGATCACGAGGTCAGGAGATCGAGACCATCCTGGCCAACATGGTGAAACCTCATCTCTACTAAAACACAAAAAATTAGTCGGGCATGGTGGCGCATACCTGTAGTCCCAGCTACTCGGGAGACTGAGGAAGGAGAACTGCTTGATCTCTGGAGGCAGGGGTTGCAGTGAGCCAAGATCGTGCCACTGCGTTCCAGCCTGGTGACAGAGGAAGACTCTGTCTCAAAAAACAAAAACAAAACAAAACAAAAACAGCTCTTGGATTCATTGGTTTTTTTGAAGGGTTTTTCGTGTCTCTGTTTCCTTCAGTTATGCTCTGATCTTCGTTATTTCTTATCTTCTGCCAGCTTTGAATTTGTTTGTTTTTGCTTCTCTAGTTCTTTTAATTGTGATAGGGTGTCAATTTGAGATCTTTCCCCGCTTTCTCCTGTGGGCACTTAGTGCTATAAATTTCCCTCTAAACACTCCTTTAGCTGTATCCCAGAGAGTCTGGTTTTGAGTGAGTGAGTTTTGTTTTTGTTTTTGTTTTTTTTTTTTTTGAGACAGAGTCTCACTCTGTCACCAGGCGCCAGGCTAGAATGCAGTGGCACGACCTCGGCTCACTGCAACCTCCGCCTCCTGGTTCAAGCAATTCTCCTGCCTCAGCTTCCCCAGTAGCTGGGACTACAGGTGCGCGCCACCACGCCCAGCTAATTCTTTTGTATTTTTAGTAGAGACGGGGTTTCACCATGTTGGCCAGGATGGTCTCGATCTCTTGACCTCATGATCTGCCCGCCTTGGCCTCCCAAAGTGCTGGGATTACAGGCGTGAGCCACCGCGCCCGGCCTTTGAGTGAGCTTCTTAATCCTGAGTTCTAATTTGATTCACTGTGGTCAGAGAGACTGTTTGTTATTAATTCCGTTCTTTTGCATTTGCTGAGGAGTGTTTTACTTCCAATTATGTGCTTAATTTTAGAATAAGTGCTTAGCGTTAATGTGCTACAAGCATCTCTTTCAGGAATCCTTACAAAAAAAGGACAAAGGGGAAGAAGGGGAGGGACACTAGGGTGCAGTGAAGTGGCCTTCAGCAGTCACTGAAGGCTGGATTTTCAGGCTACGTGGCTTGGCAGTCATAGGGAGTATGGTTGGCCTGAGCAGGCTGCCCTCTGGGGTTGGTGAGGGTGTGGGTCCTATGCTGAGGGAGCCCTTGCCACCTGATGCCCAGCCTTGAAATAGGGCCTTATGGCCTCCACATCTTGAGCTTCATGGCCACCATGTCCTGGGCAACATAGCGAGACCTCATCTCTACTAAATAATTGCTTTGAATTAGCCGGGTGTAGTGTAGCACACCTGTATTTGAGCCCAGGTGGTCAAGTCTCCAGTGAGCCTAATTTTTAGAGATAGGATCTTGCCCTGTCACTCAGGCTACAGTGCGGTGCTGATAGAGCAAGACCCTATATCTAAATTTTTTCTTCCTTTCTCTTTCTGTCTCTCTCTCTGTCTGGGCATTGTCAGGGCTCTGCAAAGCTCTGCTGGAAAAGCTTTAGATTCCAGGGTGGCCCTCTTAGGAAGTGGATGGGACTCCTTCAGGGTGCTTGTGGAGGGCTGATGCTGGAGCCAGACTCCACTAGACCTCACGCATTGCTAGCCAAGTGGGTGACCATCTCTGTCCCTCCATCTAGAGAGAAGCAAGGCCACAGCCGTGGCCCTGGGCAGTTTCCCGGCAGGTGGCCAGGCCGAGCTGTCGCTGAGACTCGGGGAGCCATTGATCATCGTCTCTGAGTAAGTCCATGGGCACTGGGTACCTGAATATGCACTAATAGAGCCAGGCGTGGTGGTGTGTGCCTGTAGTCCCAGCTGTTTGGAAGGCTGAGATGATCGCTTCTCGGCCTTTTGGCTAAGATCAAGTGTGGAAGGCTGAGATGGGAGAATCGTTTGGGCTCAGGAGTTCAAGGCTGCAGTGAGCTATGACCAAGCCAGTGCACTGCAGCTTGGGTGACAGAGTAAGACTCTATCTCTAAAAATAAATGAATGGGCCAGGTGTGGTGGCTCACACCTGTAATCCCAGCACTTTGGGAGGCTGAGGTGGGTGGATCATCTGAGGTCAGGAGTTTGAGACCAGTCTGGCCAACATGGTGAAACCCTGTCTTTACTAAAATAAATGGGCTTGGTGGCAGGCACCTGTAATCCCAACTACTCGGGAGGCTGAAGCATGAGAGTTGCTTGAACCCAGGAGGCAGAGGTTGTAGTGAGCTGAGATCATACCATTGTACTCTAGCCTGGGTGACAAGAGCAAAATTCTGTCTCAAAAAAAACAAAAAAATTTAGGCTGGGCGTGGTGGCTCATGCCTGTAATCCAGCACTTTGGGAGGCCAAGGTGGGTGGATGACCTGAGGTCAGGAGTTCAAGACCAGCCTGGCCATCATGGTGAAACCCCATCTTTATAAAAATAAATAAATAAATAATTAAAAATAGGCTGGGCATGGTAGCTCACACCTATGATCTCAGCCCTTTGGGAGGCTGAGGTGGGTGGATCATGAAGTCAGGAGTTCAAGACCAGCCTGGCCAACATGGTGAAACTCCACCTCTACTAAAAATACAAAAATTACCTGCGTGTGGTGGCGGGCACCTGTAGTCCCCACTACTTGGGAGGCTGAGGCAGGAGAATCGCCTGAACCCAGGAGGCAGAGGTTGCAGTGAGCCACGATCACACCACTGCACTCCAGCCTAGTGACAGAGTAAGACTGCGTCTCAAAAAATAATAATAATAATAATAATAATAAAATAAATGAAGGAAGGAAAGAATGGCGATGCTCTCAAGGGAGAAGGGTCCCTTCCCCCCAGTAGAAAAGCACAAGGCATTTGCTGAAATGCTCACAGAATCCCTGTGGTAGGGTTTCAGGTGGCTGGACATCCCTCAGGGAGAACTGTGGGTGGGCAGGGCCCTGTAGCAGGGAACCTGGAATCATGCCATCTACCACCAGCCGCAGCTCTGGCCCAGGAGGTACCTGGACAAGCTAGTGTAGGGAAGCCTGGGAAACAAGTGGGACAGACGGCCGCAGGATCCAGCCTGAGAGGGTCCCTGCAAACCCAGAATGTGCAGTTTTTGGGGCCTTGGCTCATCTGAAAGAGGTATCCCCACTCCTTTTTCTCTCCAGGGATGGAGACTGGTGGACGGTGCTGTCTGAAGTCTCAGGCAGAGAGTACAACATCCCCAGTGTCCACGTGGCAAAAGTCTCCCATGGGTGAGTTCCCACTTCAGGCCCGCCTTGCGGGAGTTTCCTGCTTTTTCTTCCCACAAGCACTCCCCTTCATGCGCGGCTTTGTGCTGAGCAAAGGGGAGGAGTATCAGTCAGGCGCGGCTTTATGCTGGGGGTAGAGGAGAATCAAGCCCAGGCCCTGCCCTCAGGAGGAACAGACGGCTCATCCTAGCATAGGTTGGCCTGTGAGACATGGGAGCCAGAGGAGGGGTTTGGGAAGGCCTATAGAGGAGATGTGGAGCTCTAAGCTTTGGAGGGTGGCCGGGATCTAGTGGTGGAAAATGCTGAAAGGGCCATGTGGGTGATGGGAGCACACCACGTGAGGGGCTGGTGCAGTGGTGTGCGCCTGTAGCCCCAGCTTCTAGGGAGGCTGAGGTGGGAAGATCACCTGAGTCTAGATGGTCAAGACTGCAGTGAGCCGCAATTGTGCTATTGCTCTCCAGTCTAGGCCACAGAGCAGGAGCCTGTCTCAATAAAAAGAAAAAACAGAGGGGCAGTGCTTGGAAAGGTGAGGCTTAGAAAGGTTCGTGGATAGAATCAGGGTGCTGGGGGGACTGGGTAGGGATAGCACAGAGGCTGGGATCACCCCAGGTTACTTGGGAATGAGGTCTCCAGGCAGAGAAAGCTGGGGCTGTCCCCATGAGTTTGTCCTCCCAGGGCCCTGGAGCCATGACTAGGAGGACAAAGATGGTGTGGACCTCCGAGATCCCAAGGCCAGCTGTTCATGGAACAGACAGAACTTTGAGGCCCAGAGAGGGAGGGCCTTGTGAGGGTCACTCAGAGGCGGTAGTAAAATCTTGGCTTCCCTCTTCCTCCAGGCTGACCCTGTCCCTTGTCCCTCTCTCTTGCTTCTCCAGGTGGCTGTATGAGGGCCTGAGCAGGGAGAAAGCCGAGGAACTGTTATTGTTACCTGGGAACCCTGGAGGGGCCTTCCTCATCCGAGAGAGCCAGACCAGGAGAGGTGAGTAAGCTCAGCGTCAGCCCAGGCCCTTCCTGCATGGAGGTCTCAGAAAGGAGCCCACAGATATATGGCTGCAGGTGCAGCCCAGAAAATAGGCTTTGCCGGCAAGGCATGGTGGCTCATGCTTGTAATCCCAGCACTTTGGGAGGCACAGGTGGGTGGATCACAAGGTCAGGAGTTCGTGACCAGCCTGGCCTATATGGTGAAATACAAAAATTAGCTGGGCATGGTGGCGGGCACCTGTAATCCCAGCTACTCAGGAGGCTAAGGCAAGAGAATCACTTGAACCAGGGAGGGGGAGATTATGGTGAGCTAAGATTGCGCCACTCAGAAGAGTGAGCCACAGAGTGAGACTCTATCTCAAAAAAAAAAAAAAGGAAAAGAAAAGAAAATAGGCTTTGCCTGACTCCTCAGTCGGTCAACCAAGATTTCCTGAGCCCCAGCTCCGTCCCTGTCCATATGAGCCATGTGGGGCCCAGGCTTGGAGAGATGGAGACAAGCCATGAAAGCAGAGGAGAGGCAGCTAACTTTGGAGCAATCAAAGGAGGCTTCAGAGAGGAGTGCACCATGAATTGAAACTTAAGGATGCTCCCACAGGATCCCAGGCAACAAGACACAGTGGTGCTGGGGTGGACCAGGGGGCTGCACCTCAGAACAATAGGAGGTAAGAAGTGAGCAAGGCTCCAGCACAGAGGCCTTGGATGCCGGGTTAAGAAGCTTGGGTTTTCTCCCAAGGCAGTGGGAGTTGCTATTCAGCAGAGACACAGTGCCGGGTATGTGTTCTGGGGGAAACAAGAGGATGCATTATTGTGACTCTCAGTGTATTCTGCGGGCCACTTGCTTAGCAATAGAGAGGGTGGGGCGGTCAGTTTAGGGGACACCGAAAATCATATCCTTCCCTGAGAGGTTTTTAATCTGTGTTAACATAAGACTTCTCAGCTTTGCACAGTGGCAGTATGGTAGCCAATGAGGTTTATCCGAGGTGTGATTATTGCTAATTGAAAACTTTTCCTAATACTCCGCCATGACGACTTGCAATATAGTCGGCATTGGCAATTTTTGACAGTCTCTGTGGAGACTGGAAAAAAAAACAACATAAGACTTCTTAGGGCGTTGCCTTTGCCTATTTCCCAAGTGCTTCTGAGAACAGGAGCATTTCTTCATGCAGCACCTGTAATATTCACTCCATGTTCATTCATTCAGGAAATGCTTCTCAAGCACCTACAATGTGGGGAGGCTGCAGGGAATGACAGGACCTACTGTATGTGCCAGGTCTTAGGCATCTCTGGTGAGTGAGGTGAGCATTGTCCTGCTCTCAGGGAGCTCCCAGGTCACTGGAAGCCAGTGTTCCATGGCACAGAGTTTGGGAAACAGACCTGTATTTGAGATTCGCAGTCATGCCAGGGCTTGTCCCTCAAATGCTAAGAGTGTGATGGGACTTGAGGGTAGGGCAGAGGCCAGATGTGAAGGGCTGGAGTTCCTAGCCTTGGTGTTGAGCAGTCTGGCTGTTATCTGCCATGTTGCTGCCATGAGATCCTATAAGCAATAGAATGAAAAATCTTCATTTCTGAAAATGAATATGGGCTAGGCACGGTGGCTCACACCTACAATCCCGGGACTTTGGGAGGCTGAGGTAGGAGGATCACTTGTGCCCAGGAATTTGAGACCAGCCTAGGCAACATAATGACACCACTTCTCTACAAAAAAAAATTTTAAATTTAGTGAGGTGGTGCGTGCCTGTAGCCTGAGCTACTTGGGAGGCTGAGGCAGGAGGATCACTTGAGCTCAGGAGTTCCAGGATGCAGTGAGCCATGACTGCATCACTGCACTCCAGCCTGGGCAACAGAGCCAGACTCCATCTCCATAAAATAAAAGTGGTCTCAGGTACCTTGTTACAGAGGCAAAAAAGAGAAAAAATAAAAGTGAATGTGAATGGCCCACAGTAGGGATCAAGACTCAGCCAACACATTGGCAACTAGGATTTGTAAAAGAGTATAGTCACAGAATTTCCCTACACTGACCAACAGTGATTGCTCCCTCTCAAAGACACATGATTCTGATCTCTTGGCAAAACATTGAAATGGTGACAGGATCTCTTGGGTCAATAGCCAGTCAGAGCTGGAAACCCATTGGAAATCATCTCATGGATCCTCCTCTTCCCATTGTACAGACCGAAAAACAGAGGCCCAAGAGGGGTCAGGATGCACCACATCACACATGCATGTGGGACTTTTCCCACCGCAGGTGTGAGATGCTCTGAGCTGCTGCCCCTGCCCTGAGTCCCTTAAGACAGTCATGTTGGCATGAGGCATTCATGTTGGCACTGCACGCACAGCCACAGACTAGGGAAGAAGGTATCAGGAGCAGACAGACCTCCTGGCACCTGCCTTGATATAAACCAACTATGACAGGTTGTGGGGACTTTTGTTCTCTGCCTCAGTCTCCCTCCTAGGGCCCTCTCCAGCTTCTTTGCCTCTCCTCCTCTGCCCTTGGTCATTCCTAGGTTGACCTCTCCAAGGCCCCTCCTGCTCTTTTCTAGGCAGCATCAGCACCCCCACCTCACATACACCCATAGGCTGGTAGTGGGGCTGGGGAGGCCAGCCCAGCACAACAGCTGCAAACAGGAAACCACAACAGTGGTGCGGAGTGGAGCAGGGCCCCACTGCAGACTGTCCCTGGGAGCTCTAGAAGCCACAGGAAGTGCTCACTGCTCAGCTGCCCCAGCCCTGGCCCATTCTCTGACGTGGTTCAGCCCCAAGAGTATAGTGGCCAGCTCTTATGGCCACTCTGCCCCTTACCTAAGAAGGCCCTGATACAAGGAGAAAACCTGTGAGTGACAGAGGAGAAAGCCGTAAGGATCCATGAACTTTTTTTGTTTGTTTGTTTGTTTGTTTGTTTGTTTGAGACAGAGTCTCACTGTGTCGCCCAGGCTGGAGTGAAGTGGCACATTTTGACTCACTGCAACCTCCACGTCCTGGGTTCAGGTGATTCTCATGCCTTAGCCTCCCTGGTAGCTGGGATCACAGGTACATGCTACCATGCCCAGGAAATTATTATTATTTTTTTTTTCTGAGACAGAGTCTTGCTCTGTCACCCAGGCTGGAGTGTAGTGGCACAATCTCAGCGCACTGCAACCTCCACCTCCTGGGTTCAAGCGATTCTCCTGCCTCAGCCTCCTGAGTAGCTAGGATTACAGGCATGTGCCACCATGCCCAGCTAATTTTTGTATTTTTTATAGAGATTGGGTTTCACCATGTTGGCCAGGCTAGTCTTGAACTCCTGACCTCAGGTGATCCACCCACCTTAGCCTCCCAAAGTGCTGGAATTACAGGCATGAGCCACTGTACCAGGCTATGTTTTTGTGTTTTTAGTTGAAACGGGGTTTTGCTGTGTCGCCCAGGCTGGTCTCAAACTCCTGAGCTCAGAAAATCTGCCTGCCTTGACCTCCCAAAGTGCTAGGATTACAGGCATGAGCCACCTCACCCAGCAAGATCCATGAAGATCTTTAAGGACCCATAAGATCCTCACAAGGCTGGGCACGGTGACTCATGCCTGTAATCCCTGTGCTTTTGGAGGCCGAGGTGAGTGGATTACCTCAGGTCAGGAGTTTGGGACTAGCCTGGCCAACATGGCGAAACCCCGTCTCTACTAAAAATACAAAAAAATTAGCTGGGCGTGGTGGCAGGTGCCTGTAATCCAGCTATTTGGAAGGCTGAGACAGGAGAATTGCTTGAACCTGGGAGGCAGACGTTACAGTGAGCCAAGATTGCACCACTGCACTCCAGCCTGGGTGACAGAGCGAGACCCTGTCTCAAAAAAACACAAAAAAACAAAAAAGATCCACATAATTACTGGTACTAAAGTCACCAGATCCCCATAGCCAGCTCCAAAAGGGGATGGATCAGAATGCAGCTCGTTATCAAAGAGGAAGATGAAAAACGTTAGTGGGGGAGAAAAAAGTAAAGAAGAAATTTGCCAATGCTCCAGGAAAGGTAAAGTTTTCCTGCAGGTCATGGCCAATGTGTAGATCAGGAAATCAGTTTAGAGGCCAGGTACAGTGTCTCACACCGGTAATCCCAGCACGTTGTGAGCCCAAGGCAGGAGGATTGCTTGGGCTCAGGAGTTCAAGACCAGCCTGGGCAACAAAGAGAGACCCCCCCATCTCTTAAAAAAAAAAAAAATTGGCCAGCCACAGTGGCTCACACCTGTAATCCCAGCACTTTGGGAGGCTGAGGCAGGCAGATCATGAGGTCAGGAGGTGAGACCAGCCTGGCCAACATGGTGAAATCCCGTCTCTACTAAAAATACAAAAATTAGCGGGATGTGGTGACGCATGCCTGTAGCCCCTGCTACTTGGGAGGCTGAGGCAGGAGAATCACTTGAACCAGGGAGTCGGAGGTTGCAGTGAGCCAAGATTACACCACTGCACTCCAGCATGGCAACAGAGTGAGACTTCGTCATAATAAATAAATAAATAAATAATTAGCCAGGTGTGGTGGCATGTGCCTGTTGTCTCAGCTACTTGGGAGGCTGAGACAAGAGGATCACTTGAGCCCAAGAGGTCGATGCTGCAGTGAGCTGTGATCATACCACTGCACTCCAGCCTAGATGACAGAGCAAGACCCTGTCTTTAAAAAATAAATAAATAAATAAATTCAATAAACAAACTACCGATGCATGCACCCACCTCCAGAGTTTCTGATCTCACTGGTCAGGGATGTGGCTTGCACACTGTAAAAGCTGCCCAGGTGATTCTGATGTATAGCCAGGGTCAGAACCCACTACTTTAGTGGGTCTGGACCAGTGTGTGTTTGTAGTGAAATTGAGCAGAGAACATCACCATGGTTGGGGTAAATATTGCATCATAGAACTTTTGTTTCAGGATTTTTATAAGGTGTGTCCCGGGTCACAGCATAAACTTTCGTACTGCGGTTTGACACCTCAGTGACTCTAGGGGCCCAAGTGACGTCATAGAACAGTGGTTCTCACTCTTGAGTGTA